CTGTTGAATCAATATGCATATACTACCCTAGTTTAGCTAAAAAGAGTAAATCAAATTGCTTCAAGTGGAAAAAGGAACTTTAAAAAGGTGTCCTATATCCTAAAACAGTGTTCTAGCTGTTGAAGTGCTGATTAGTTAAACTTTATCCTCCCTAAAAATGATTATCCCTTCTCTGATTTAGAATAAAAAAATTATTTGAACCTAACAGAAAAACATTAAAAGAGATATGAAATCACATGGGGTTTTTTTAGTATTCCTTAGGTTCTAGCTTAAGGTACTGAGCTATTCAATGGCATTTTTGGCTGCCATTCTTAAGCTCTCCGTGTTTTATAAATAAGCTACTGCCTAATAAGGCAGTTGTAATAGTCAGGTGCTACAGAACTTAGTGCTGTGATGTCTCCATTCCGTTTATGAACCTACAAGAAAAAAGGATCTACTTGTAGACAAGGACAGTGTCCTAATCCATCTGGATCTAAAGAGTGGCTGAACCAGATAGGAGGCATTCACATTCTCCTGCTCCTCTCAAAGAAACTAATTCCAGACTCTGGAATACACAACCGACATGATGGCTTATTTACTTAAGCTTTGGATTATAAAGGACTTTATTAATTTTTACTGTTGTGTTGTGTTGAATCTATTTAAGTGCATATTTGAATCTCTTCATTAAAAAAAAAAATCAACCCACATACTTTTACAGTATTGAAGATTCAATTCTAAAGTTATGGAAAAGTGAAAAAGACTTACTTGCAAAACATAACATTTTGTTCCGAATAAATAAATTGCTAAACTAGGCACAAAATAGGTAATTGTCATATAATGGTGTACCAATTCAGTTAAATAAAGAGTACAAAATGCCATCAGAATAATTTAAGAAATAATTGTGTCACGCATTTTCCAGTGTGACATTTTTAAATTGTAAAGAATTGGGTGAAGGAAAACTGAAGGAATGGGGAAGTCAGAAACAAAAGTGAATCTTTAGTAACTAAAAGAATTCTTTAAACTGGGTTAAAAGTTGACAGAATTTAAAAGAGCCTGAAGCCTGGAGCTTCTTGTGTATTTCTTTATGGAGCTGATCAGGCAGAAGTGAGATCAATTGTTTCAAAAGGGTTTCAATCAGGGCATGGATAATTTTAAAATAAATTATTTTAATTAATTAGTCCAGAAATATTTATTTATCATTTTTTCCTTTCCTGGAGTGGATAAGGGTACTTAATATGTATGGTTTCTTTAAAGTTAGGGGATAATATATTTGTGAATAATTTCTCCATTATTCGCATTCTTCTACCAGTACAACTTGAAATTTATCATACTGACTGCATAAAGCACTTCTGCACAATTTCTTGACTTCAAGAGTTAGTAAATGAATGACTTAAATTTATTTGGAAAAAAAAAACTGATTCTGAAGTACAATGGATTTATACTATGCTTCTGAAGGGAAAAAATTAATGGTTTTTTTCTTGAGTGGAAATGACAGCATATGGGAGAGTAAGATTTTACAGTGCAACAATACAGAGAATATCCTTTATAAATAAAGAGATATAAATAAAGAATAAAAAGAATGCTTTTTAAAAGGAAAATTATAGAAAATTGCCTTTTGCAACTGCTGAATTTCACTATTCTACTATAATAAATTGTATATGTGGTACAAAAAGTAAGAACATGTGGGCTATAGGTCAAAGTTGGCTCTGTTCAAGAGAAACTGGCTATATCCCCAAGCTAAACTGAATGGAGGTTAGAACTGCATCAACAAAAAAGACTTTGAAAAATTGTCAGTTTCAGTAAGCAAGAGTATAGAATGAGTATCAGTTGAAATACCCCAAATCATTCTGGCTTTCTTCTTCTTTTTTGTCTTTTCTAACTGGGGTGTTTGGTATAGAGAAATTATTAGCAAGGACAGAGCACATACACTGGTAAGTATACTGATAAGTAAGTGTTGTGGAGATCATTCAGTCACCAAAATCCAAGATATTGAGAGACCCCAGTGCTTCAAGTCTGAAGAAAAAAAACATTTTATTCACTGGACTGAAATAGTTTCTCATAATAGCTTCAAACAAGCATTGGTAATAAAAACCCACAAAATAATAGCAATAGAGAAATGCAGAGATGATCTGATTAATTTTGCATTTTGTCTGCATAAGGGTCTGTCACTCTTGATATGATACAAATTTTCGGTGCTGCATCATATAACAAGTCCTGGTGTAATCAGCACTTACCTACTGCTTCCTCCGACAACATGCCAACAGCTTCTGGAGAAGCATTTACACTGAAACTTTTTCCCCTCCCTTTGCTGTCTCGTGAGATAAGTAGGAAAATCACACATTTGTCAGTTTTCTGTGTAGTTTCTGTCTGCTTTAGGCGGTACTGTGTCTTTCATACTTCAGGCTACTCCTTGGCATAAATCCTTATCTATGGGGGGTTACAGTGCTGTCCAGTGGCATTGGACATGTCACTGAAAATTCAACACGAAACTCTAATTCAAAGAAAAAGCTACACAGCACATTCTCTGCCAGAAGCCTGGCACACCTAACACAGTGTGCCACAGGACCTAGCATACTTCAGTACATATAGCTCCTGTGATCCCTGTATGCAAACACTGCACTGGACTTTCCCCACTTCATTTGGCCTCATTAGATTAATGATGTGTGCAATATTTTACACCTTTATTCTCATGTTTTTACTGATCTGTGCATAAATTACACTCTATTGCACTATCTTTGTACTCTTGAATGGTGTTTTAAAGTAAAAATGGTATTCCTTCTACTAATTTCTTACATTTAAGTTTGGACCTATGAATATTTTGGCCATCTTTCTGCCTGTTTTCATAAGGTATGAGTCTTGTACTTTTTCTTCTTTTCAGGTTCTGTTTTGAGGCATCATACATCATGTTCCTAGCCAGTCATTTTCCATTTATGCTTTATCTCTTCACACTAAGCCAATATGATGCACTGACTTGTCATGTTGGTGTGTGTTATTATACAAATGTAAACAGATGTGACATAATGCAATGCTAAAGGGCAGCTAGAATTACTCCCATTTTTAGACCAGGAAATTATTGTCACTGTGAATATCCATTCCTGAAGGATGCTTCTGACCTGCAATGAATGCCCACTCTTGTGTTTATTCTGTTTTACATAAAGATAAAGAAGACAGACAAAAATGGAATGAAATGAGTATCATCTTCAGATTATAATCCACCTCCTTATCAGTCCAGATGATATCATTGTTTCTACAATTTATATTGATAAAAATCTACCAGTTTAGAAGGAAGTGAAGCAAAATAGTATGACTGCTGTTTTGCAAATTCCCAAGTGTAAAGAATTATTAAGAACATTAAGAACAATGAATGAGGAACCAATCCAGAAGTATGGGCCCAAATTACTTTAGCAGTGACCTGCTGAAGACATCTGATGAAACCTAAGCATGGTTAAATGGGATGGACTTAATTTCATTTTATTCTGCCCATCAAAACTGTTAAGGGATTAATTGCAGTAAGTAAAACATTTTTGTCTCATCAAATTTAATGGGGGCGTCTTTAATTGTATGGACCCAGACAGTACTGTGATGGATGTGGAGACAAAAAAAAACCCCAAAAAGGCAAGGGAGAATAATTGACATTCATGTCGCAGAGACAAAAGAAAGAGCACTCTGCTCTTTAAGCATGTACAGAGCACAATCTTTCTTGCTACTACCAAAATTCCTATGACATTTTTGCGTGGGGTGCCAGTAAAAATATGCTTCTTGGTGGCTCTCAGCATGTGCCTTTGAACAGCTCCTCCAAGTTGTTGGATGGAGCATGGGCAGGAACTGTCAATCTGGTGAGCACTCATGATTTCACTATAGTTTGTAAGCATAAAACCATGCAGAGAACTGCTTGAAAGCATTCCTACAATTCTTGTTTTAAGTATAATCATATGGACCAGGAAGCATAAATGTGTATTTCCAAACAAACCAGGGAAGTTCACACTGCTATTATCTGTGTGCTACCTAGATTGTGGATAAATAATGTAAGAGACACTCTCATAGTGCATTCTACAGTGTTTACTTATGAGGTAAGTTCATTAAAAAGGTGTGTTATCTGATTCACAAGCAAAAAACCAGCATTATTTCATGGCTGTCTGATGAAAAAGCCTGCCATAAAATACTATCTTTACCAGCTTGTCAGCACATTTATTTGAATGATGTTATCATTAGAGTGAAGTGTAATTTACTATCTAAGATATGCTTAAATGCATAATGCAATATCTTTTGTGTCTTAAAAGAGTATGTGTATATATGCTAAAAGGAAAACATATTGAGAGAGTTTGATAACATTATCTTCTGCCTTTCCAAGACAAATCTTTATTAAAAATCATCTTGAAGGTATTTCTTTCTCTTTTCCTCTAACACTGGAAGTGAAAGCCACATATACTCCTGTCTGGGACTATGTCAGATTCCTCCAAAGTTCCACTTTGAAAGCTCAAGGCAAATAAACCCCAGCTGAAATCTTGGCATTATTCAAAGAGACATTTAGGGCATTCTAACTCACAACATTAAAGCATCTGTCAGGGAAGGTGCTGTCATTTGCCACCTGATCTAATTACTTCTGACAACAGATGTGAGTAAACTGCAAAAACTCAACATCTTTAATAAGCTGATCAAATTTCATTAAAAAAGCATGAATGCTAACAAGATTATAAAATATAGTTCAGTTTATGCTCAATGTATAAGTAAGAGTGCAATTATATTTAATAGGTAAAAGGGCAGGTTAATTGGAGGTAAAAGTTACCTTGTTGCTCATCATTTATTTAGTTTAATTACCAGGAAATTGACTGTTTATTAACAATCCATACTTGTATACTATATACTTGTATAGCAGATATGGTGGTTAATACTCCTAAAATAATAAAATTTCCCCATCTACTAAGGAATATCCTAGCCTATTTGCTTTTCTCTTTCTGCAGAGTTATTTCAGTTTGAATTTAGAATACAAGTATTACTAAAGGTTTTATGGAATGTTTCTTCAGGACATAGAATCTCAGACTTGCAAAAATGAGATATTCTGGTAAATATTTTCAGATTGTAATACCAGGGTTGGTTGAGGAAAAAGAACAAATTCCCAGAAATAAAAATGCTTATCATTACCTACCCATACCATGTTTAGCTCTATTTCAATAAATCCAGCCTTCAGTTCTCCAAGCATTAAAAAAGCACTACAACCCCTTCAGTTTAAAAAAAAAAAAAAAAAAATCCCGTCACAAATACTTAAAATTATTATACTGAAAAATGTTTTTGCAGTAGGCATACTTGATATACAGCCACTGAACTGTATTTATTGCCATCACCATTGAGTGATAAAATTTATGATAAGTTTCTGGTTCTAGGCAAAATTCTATGAGAAATCTCACACTGCATCCATCCTTTATTAATTTATTCATTGCCATTATTCCAAGTGTTTCACTGTAGTTTACATTCTTAAGCATTTAATACTTAAGAATACTTTTAGGAAAAGTACCAGTATGTATATATCCTGTTATTACAGGATATAAAGTGGGTCACTCTGTTTTTAAAATAGCTTAATGGCATATGCTTCTATATTTCTATACCTGTAAACTTAATTGTTATGTACCATATATACAATTAAAGCTTTCATTGTAAACTACCTCAACTATTCCTACTGTAAGAAAATTTTAGATTAATAAAGAAAAAGTATTGTGTCAGCTTTTGGGTTATTTTCAGTTATATCAACCAGCTATGACACAAAACTGGTCTGTATTTGGTTCATGTAATTAAATTAATGTATCCACCAAAATATGTCTACAAAAATTAAGTCTGTTTAAGAAAGTTAGTATGTTTTTATAAGAAGAATTGCATAAATAAGACATAGTCCGGGGCCAAACTTAAAATATGTACCGTGTGATCTTTCAAATTGCCTTAAGGAAACTGCATCCAGAAAATTCTGATTATCAACCTCTAAGAATATCACAAGAATATCTTAAATTTTTCTAATGTCAATAAATTCTATGAGCCTCCTCATTATTTTAAGAATGGCTTCTTTGGTCTCGTTTGCTTTTTGCTTCTGTTCCTCAAAGATTTTTTTTAAAAAGGCTGAATATTTAAAAGTGGGTATGGACAAGAACAAATTCTAAATGAGATCAATATTTTTGAGTGTATATGTGGTGATGAAGGCATCTTATTTGTGCTGCATAAGTTGCAGTCATAAATTAAAACCAAGCAAATACCTCTACTTGGACGTGAATGCATAACTTCAGATCTGATCCCAATTCTTCTTTAGCAGAAGTGCAAAAGTGCTGATTTCTCACCACTTCCTAGTCAGTAAATTGAAAGAACAAACATTGACACAAACATAAAGAATGATGACAGCTGCAGAAGCCTGTTCTACATTAGGATTGCCTCTGGTAGAATTAAATATAAAATATTTTATAATTCTGTTTTCATAAAATTAATTTAGAGAAGTTTGTTCTTTTTTTTTTTTAATTCTATGTTAATCTCTCTGCAGAATATAGCAACAATTTTTTCCCTAAGAAGCATGAGTTAAAAGTGATAATTTAAATCCTATGGATTTTGTGAAATTGTAGAGCATGACTAATAGATTTTCTAAATAAAGCCATTAGGGACATGATACAAAACAGTACAGTATAAGAATAAGCAAGTAATTTTGGGGATTTCAGCTACTGTTAATCTCTATTTGCACCCTCCTTGACTTCAGCTCTATTCTTGCCTTTGTCCTCTTATGCTTAGTCTTGAGTTCACAGCAGCCCCATGCCACCTAACCTTCTCTTTGTTATAGGTAGGAATCAGCATCCTGTGGTAAGAAAGTAGCTGTAAGAGAGGATGGAACTCGTATTCTAATTGCTAAGTTCATAATGAGGGACAGGGGATGAATGAACACTTTTCCTACATTAATTCTACTATCTGCTTATTACTTTTAAGAGCTAAAGTTGAAGTACAAGAATACCTACCCCTTCAGCATACTCACCTAAATTATTTTACATTTCCTAAATTATTGGGTAACATTATATGCTATCCTTGAAAATTAATCTAGTTGATTAGGATTGAAAGAGTTGTTGCATATTCCTGTAGACTTCCTAGAAGTTGTATCTTAAACAGCACCTTTTTTTTCAATCATGCAAAAAGCATGTCCACAGCAAAAGATGAAGGTGTTTACCAAGATTCTTTTTATACATAGATTTTGCCACTGGTCTTCATATAAGCATTGGATTTCCATCATGGCTCCTTTTTCCTGCCATTCTTTTTTCTAGTATTTAATACTTTCCCTGACATCTGTAGAAGTCTACTGTGTACCATGTACCTAAAATTGCTCAGACCTTAAACAGGTCTTCAATATCCTTCCTTCTTTTGTCTAAGTACACTCAATCTGTCAGCCTCTGTTTCTGGATGTGAAGTCCAGTGTCAGGTTTTCTGGTCAGACTGGGAAAGTGTTTTATTTCTTTCAAAGATCAGTCTAGTATTAGCTACAGATAACACATGACAGGAAGGGCATGTTTAGTGGAGTTTACATGCACTGTAAAATCAGAAAGTTGAAAGACGTTTTATGTTTTCTAAATATACTTGGCTTTGGTGTCATTTCTTTGTTTCTACTGAACTACTGGGGTATAAAGTCAATAGCATTTTCTGAAGAGGGAGAAGCTCAGTGACCAGTGTTTCTGTTAAATGCAGACCTTTCATTGTCACTGTCTGATCTTCACTGACAGGCACAAAATTTCATTAGTCTCATACAAACTGCATGTAGATATAATTTGAGAACTTCTTATCTCTATTTGTCAGAGAGAGCCTCAGCTGACCCTTCATACAGTTTAAGATCAGTTTGAGGTGTGTAAAAAGACCTCCTTAGGCAGTGGAGCTGGGACTGTTTTTTCCTCAAAGGATAAGTAATGCTAAGTCACAAATAATTAAAAGCAGACAAGTAAATGCCTTGATTGTTAAAACCGGTATCCTGGCTGAGAGTGAGAGGTCTCCTTCACACAATCACAGAGGTATTTATAAAATAAATTGCCTTGCAATTCCTTGTTATTCCCAATTCTCATTATATCAGTATGAAAATGGAATCAGATAAAAAGTGATCTTGTGGTTTATGCACTTTGAGTGCAAAGTTTCTTTTTTATTTGTTTGTTTGTTTCAGGAATCAGTAGTTGATATAATAAACTTGCCAATCAGTCATAGGAATTTTCACTTCTTTTTTTCAGTATAACAAATATTCATGGGCACAGTTAGTCATGGATTTCATCTGAGAAAAGCAAAATGTTTCTATATCTTTGGGAGACCTGCAATAGTCTGGAAAATTATTATGTTGTCTGTTCATCCACTCTACTCTTCTGCTGTGCATATGCAACAGTAAGTTTTCCTCATAAAATTCTCAGCACATAGGATATGCTAAGTATAACCAGAAAAATACAGTTGCACTTGAGGCTAGCAAGACTTTTGTTTTCTTGAAGGTGCTTTTGACCTCCATCATTCTAAAATTTTCATCTATTGCATATGTTGAACAATATAAGCATGTTTTGTGACTCCTTATTCCTTGTGTGCTCAACTGATGTTTCTGTAGATATTGATATTTAAGAGATGTCTTGAAATGACAGTCTTTGCCTAAAAATTACACAGGGTTTTCTGTTTGCCTTCCATTATGAGGCCTCTTGATTTGAATTAGTCAGCTTCTTACATGTGTCAGTGATGTCACACAGTAGTAACTGGTGTGAAGGTTTGATTAGCTCCCTTCATGTTTTGCATTAGTTTTTATGATTACTAGTATTTATTATTCTTGATATTAATCATAATACCTTCAGAACATTGGGCACTTGGATCAGGCTATGGAAAATATTAATATCACATAACTAACAACAGCAAAGTGCTTCAGTGAAGAACTTAGAACTAAGTCAAATATGAAATAAAAATTCATTTTAATCATATCTGCAAATAGTTTGAGGTATGAAATACACCTTGTATAAATGAATATTTATATGAAAATGAGAAAATGATGCAGAGAAGAAATGAGATTGTGATCTGGAGAAACTATGACCACTAGGACAGCAATTCCCTCAGCTTTTCAGAGATGCTTCTTGAAATAGATCTTAAATTTTATCTCTTCTGAATTACTCCAATTCCATTTAACTATATCCCATTTTACTAAACTGAGTTAATTTCTCTAGTTGTAATTATTTATTGCCAACTATTATAGAAGGGGCCTTGCAAAAAGCAGCTCAACTACATGGTGAGTTCCTTGTCCAGTTCCAGTGAAAATTCAGGCAGTGCAACTCTTACATGAATCCTTTGGTTGACAAAGACATGGGTTGACGACAGAGAATATTATACTCTCTCAATTCTCTTGTACTGGTGTGGTCTTCAAATTTTAAAGTATTTCTGTATTTTACAACTAAGTGGTAGAGGGTAAGATGGCTGATTTAAGATGATGGTACCATTCCACACAAAAGGAAAGATCAGTATTTGTGAAGCAACAAAATCAGATTCTCATTTTGTGCTCCTATATTTCCCCTATCTGTTGCGTTGCGGTCAGCACCCTCTCACCGCGACAACCTGAGCGCGGGCGTGCTGGGGGGCGAAGGAAGAAGACGGCCGGCTGATCCCCCTGTGAAGCTCTGCAGTCCCAGTACTGGCGCGGGGACAGATGGAGGCGACACGGGACTTGGGGGTGAACAGGATGGATTTATTCAGTGAGCCCCAAGACCCTCCAGGGAGGGCAAACAAAGATTTTATACAAGAACTCAGGAGGAGGGGTATAGGAACAGTAACTAATAGGTGAATAGTAGGGGAGGAGTTTAGGGCAGGACTAACATATCATAAACCTATCAGGGAAAACAGGGGAGTGGAGTAACACAAAGTAACCAATAAGGTGTTGAGCCTCACTAAATAGGCAGGGACTGTCCTGGGGAAAGGGGCAGGGAAAGGGAGGATTGACATCTTGGAGAGAAGGGGGTTAGTAATAAACTAGGGAAGATTAACAACTGGGGAAGGGAGGAGATAGTAGGGGGTGGGTATGAACAGACACTGAAAGAATAAAAAACATGCCACCACATCTATCTTTTATTATTTCTTCCCCTAAATTTTATGTTAAGGCTCATATTTTATTTTCTTTGTGCATTTATAAAATACTTTATCTGGATGTATAAAAAAACAAAAACTATTCTAACAACAACAACAAAAGTTTATATAATTTTTAAGCTAACAAAATGTTAATGCTACTAAAATCTAAAATTTGGTCATGCATATAGGTGAAATATCTTCCCATGAACAGAAATATTAAAAAAGAGATACAAGAACCATCCTGTAAAAGCATAATCTGTTTCACATTTCTTTCCTTATTTGTATTTTCTTTATTGTTTTGTTTCATTTTGTTGTCATAAAACAGTGCTGTTTTGCTAATAAATTTATTTTAATTGTCTTTTTGAAGAGGAAGAGTGAGGGATTATAAAAGGTTGTTTTCTCCTAGAAACATGACTTTTTTTATTAAAGTTCTAAACAGTTTACAAAACATCTAAAAGTTTGTGAGACATTCTAATATATCCAGTTTTCCTAAATATTATTGGTTACCTGTGATTTTTATAAAGACTTTTATACTATTTCTATATAAATTATCTTTATACTTCTGTTTGAGAATCTATGATTTAACAGGGCATAAAGTAGGAAAAATATGGGATATATCAGGTCTTTATACTAAACACTGCCCTTAAATGAAATTATATCTACATCTCGGAAATAAGTTCGATAAACTAGAGCTATAAATAAGAAGTGCCTTTGCAAATAAAATGTTTGCTCTTAACCATCAAAATATTGCATTTTTAACTCAACATTAAATAGACAAGGTTTCAAGAAAATTAAATCTTTATGCATCGTATTTATATGAAAAAATACAGAGCCACCAATAATGAAAACCAATTAATTGATGTTGTTTCACTGGTTAAATATAAATATGGCCATTTTCTAACAGGAAAAATTATATGGCTCCATTAAACATTTTTGTGTCCCTCTAATAAAAAATATTCATAGCAGCTGCAGTATTATCTTTTAGAAGTAAGCACCAGCACATTTGCCATTTGGTTTAGTGACTTTTTACAATGGTTGAGAGTTGCCATTCTCTGGTAACTCTAGATATACCGTTTGAAGTTGAGATCACACCTCTGATTTGATTATGCTGTAGAAAAACTTAGCCAACTTTTCAAAGAAAGCCACTACTTCCACAGTTATCAAGAAAGAGCTACTACTAGATTGTACCACTGGGCTTGGCAATACATTATGTGTCTCCTTTTTTTGTCACTCATTGCTGGTATCCAGCTATTTGCCACTAAGAAAAAGAAGAAAAACACTGCAACAAGTATTATCCAAATAATATTAAGCACCAGGCTAAGCAGGCCTTGAAGCCAGTTTCATCTCAACATGAGAAAGGTTTTCTTCACCTTTGTTACACCAGCGTTCAAAGAGACTGAAAAAGACACCTGGGTCTCCGCATGCCTGGGAGTCCTCAAATTACCAACCTGGTGTGGCACTGAAAAGGCTGGCCAAATGGCCATACTTTAGGAAATTAAACTGAGGATTTCTGAAGTTAATTCAGGTCTATCTGAAATATAGTTTGGTGTTAATATTGAAGACATATGTTCAGTAAGTTCAATGCCAATAATGTCAGAGTCCCTGCCTTTCCATTCCCTAAGTGTCTTTCATATCTTCTGCTGCGCTCACAGTGTGCCTTATGCTTTTATTTTAAACTGTGACTCCATTTCCAAGTACATGCTGTAGCTTCTGGGAAACCATTCATAATTAGAGAAGTTTAATAACCAGAATGAATATTTATAATATAAATTATTTGATGCATAATCTTAGTCATAAAATTATTTTCTTCATGCATTTCTGACTAGCTTTAGTGACAGCAGCACCAAAATATTCATGAAATACAAAATGCTATAAAACAGCATGTTACATTGAGCTGTACATTTCTCTGAGACATGGTCTTTTTCTTCATTGTAAGAAAAAATATTTCAAAGAAAAACAGGAAATTGCTATATGCCATAAATAAGATAGATTTATTTCTAGCAGAGATATGCTGTTTTCACTCATAATCAAAACTGTTTTATTAAGCAAGATTTTCCTGGAGACAAAAAGGACCACAATGTTGTAGTGCTGTTTTCATGTTGGTATTGTGTTCATATTATTTATTAATATAATTCAAGTTTTTCATTGATTTGATATGTGTGAAATGGTCTACCTGGCTCACCACCATCAGTTGAAATATTATTGCTTCTACTTCTTTTACCTTCTTTTTGAAACATTTTTTTTTCCTTAAGTGAAATATTCTGTTTTGGTGTCTAATTCAAAATGGTCATATTGTTATTTCTGTTCTGTTCTGTTTACTTCTTTCTGATGAAATACTTCATACAATGTCATTTAGCATTTCAAATATATAGTTATAGTCATTAGTTGCCTTGGTGATGAATGTGTTTTGTACCTGAGGGACAGTTATGTGTACTTCTCTGATGTATTGATGTAGATTATAATTTGACAGGAACATTCTATGTATCAGAATTTTACTGGTAAGAAAATGCCAATAATGAATTTTATGAGACTAATTAAAAATATAATTCAAACACCATTTCTTTTAAATTTGTATTACACATGATTTTTTTCCAAGACAATTCATTAAAAGGCCCGCTACAGTTTGTAATGGGAGTCTGCATCTTTTGGTCATCCCAAAATTTCTTTAACAAACCTTAGCAAGACAAGCTCACTATAAAGATGAAGGCAAAAACACATTAATCAGAACAAAGCTAGGATTTACTGCAGAAGCCCCAGATGATTAAAACCCAAAGAGTTAGCTCCTTGGCAAGGAATTATTTAAAGGTGGCTTACACATCCATTGTGCGTCCGTCAAAGGAAAATCCCTAAGCCATTCTCAGGCCTCTGACAGATAGCCCAGACCTCTGAGCTGCCATTTCAAAGTGGAGTGGAAATTATCAAATGGGTAAGGCTAGAGGGAAGTATTTCAGACATACCCTTCTATGTGGCATTTCTCTCTGGACTGGCTGCCCAACATATGTTTTTAAGTGATTTTATGAACTCTTACTCTTCCAATTTCAACACAGAAAGAGGAGGGACCTTACTTTCTGCTCTGCATTCTGTGTCAGGTCCAAAGTAGTTTAAATACTCTATTGAAATATGCTTAATTTTTATTTTAATAAAATTTTTTATTTTTATTATCAAAAATATTTTTCATCTATCTTAAAGAATTTAACAACAGCACCCCATAAATACACACACCCATTTCTTTAATGGCCATATTATGATCTCCATGTTCACATCAGGAAACAGTTATTGCATGACCATGCAATGCATGCTTTTAGCCTGGCCCTGAAAGAGGAGTATGATAGCAAAAACTTAGACTTTTCAACCAGAATTCAGTATATCTACCTTTTAACAAATTGCTCTGGAACATGCTTTTTTATTGCAGATCCTTTATTCTCCAGAAACTTTAGAGTTTATAGTGATAGCTTTGATAATATTAATAGACATATAATAGATGAAGACAGTAATTTAGTAAGAAGTAAGTATGAAGAGGAAAGCGTTGTGTAGGAATGTATTCTCACTGGGTAACTGGCATGAGGTATCTTTCATGAGCTGAGGCGGCCAGCGTAGAGAGGTTTTGCCAGAGCTCATCTCTGACAGGTCAGGTCAAGCATACTCACCACAGCATCACTCTCCATATTTTGTGGCCCTGTTCTGGAAGTTCCTTTAATGTAATGTCCAACCAATATTTCAATTATCTTAAGTAATTCACAAAGTTTCAGCTGCATTTTCATTAAGCTCTCAACTCCTGCCACTATCAACATGCTCGACCTTTTAATTCTTCTTGTAAATCAGGTCTCAGATGAGCAGCTCATATTCTAACCCATTAACTGCCAGGACAGTCACAAGTCTGAGCAATTTCTCACAATGACTTAAGACTAAGCAGTATCACAGAACTGGAAACATCAGTACTGCCACTCTCAGCTTTGTACTTTCTTAGGCAGTGGCTGTTGCCGCAATTTCTGCCAATTTGGGAAATTGTGATGGCATATTTTCCCTTTGTTGACACACAAAAAAAATGCGCTATTACCTTCTTGTTTTATTTGTTTGGGAACATTTTTTCCTCATGTCTCATGTATAAATTAATGCTGAATATTACTTTTTCCTGGATAGATCAGCAACTTATGTGCAAATTGGACTATAATGCTCTTGCTTCCAAAACCCATGATAGGAGGAACTATAGCCTGCTAATGAGTACTGAGGGACCATTTGTAGCCTTCCAAAAAATTCAGGGCACTGTATTGTTTAAACTTGTGAGTATTATTTTCATAAAGGGTTATGAGCTGTTGCATGTATTGTGGTAAATTAAACTTTAAAATAATCTTTTTTAAATCACTGGAATTACTCAGTGGATACATGCAGTCTATTGTGTATGATTTAGGTGATTCCCCACTTAAAAGGAACACTTTACTATAACTTATTTGAATTTCATTGAATTCGCAGCACAAATATGCAAAGGGAAAAAGATCTAGAACCTTTATTCTTTCTCTCCCTATCACATGGTTTCAGTATAGAGATCCCTCATAGCACAGAGGATCATTTGGTCCAACCTTCCTGCTACAGCAGGGTAATCCTGGAGCATATTGCAGAGAATTGCTTCCAAACATTTCTTGAATATCTCCAGTAAGGGATACTCTGACACACCTCTGAGCAACCTATTCCAGAAAACATAAACCAATTATTTACTGGCTTTCACAGACAATATAGGTCTAAAATTTAAGAAGCTATTATCCTAAGGATTAGAATCTTTATTCTTCTGCTAAGGCACCTTAAAAAAATTGAAATAATCGGTCCAGTAGGTGAATGATTTCCAAAGGAACTTCAGAGTGATGTGCTGGATATGGGAGAGAAAAGCTGTAGAAAAATAAACAAGGATAAAACTCACCCACAAAAATTTTGCCTTAAAAGGTAAATACATTATATAACCACAAAAAATCTGCTGAACTCCATCAGGAAAAAAATCTCATCATACATCCCTCATTGCATCATCTGAAAGCTGAGGAATAAAAATCAAAAAGAACTACTGAAAAACCTTCTCCTTCCATAACCCAAAATTTTGGTTATTTTGCATTGTTTAAGAAAAAAATTTGGTTTTGAATTTCATGAGCTGAGGCAGCTGTTGTGCAGAGGTTTTGCCAGAGCTCATCCCTGATGGGTCAGGTCAAGCACACTCACCACAGCATCACTCTCTGTGTTTTGTGGCCCTGTTCTGGAAATTCCTTTAATGTCATGTACAACTAATTTTTTAATTATCTTAAATAATTCATAAAGTTGCTTGTGGAACCAAGCCTCCACCAGAACCTCTCCTGTTGCTTGGTATTAATTCAGGGCCACCTGCCTACCAGCGCTGTGGCTATGCTGCAATGCTGCTGCTGCTGTCTGCCATGCTGAGACTCCTGACACGAGCTGTTCTTTGTCCATTCTGGGGGTTGAATACACAATCTGTTGGCTTGAAAACTGAAGTAGAAAATAATGTGTGAGCTGCTTTCTTATTTTCTAAATGAGAATATCTTATTTATGTGTACTTGTATGCAATAAAAAGGAAGGTAAAAAATCAATGCTGACTTTCCCTTCAACATAATGTATAAGAGCATTCCACTGATTTCTTCCTTTTCCTATCTTTTAGTTAGGAAAATCAGATGAAGAAGAATTACAGCCCTGTGTGTGCTCAGGGGGGAAAAAAGAGTTTTCTGTTGCTTTCTGATAAGATGCACTGACAGTTTTAGAAAATACGAAGTGAGACTATCACCTCACTTGAAAGGAGGTGCAAGTGGAAGGCAGCCGTACTAACACAGCTGTATGCTTCCTTCTCTGGCTGCTGACCCAAAGCCATCAAAGCTCTTTTAACTGCTGGCCAGTCAGGATAGTTCTGGAAGAACAGAAGGGTCAGTGCGGATCAGTCTCAGTACTGAAAAAGATTGGCGCATTTTCCAAATTTACTCAGAAAAGGGAGAGAGTAGGTAGTTATGTACATAATCATGCAACATGCTCCTAAAGCTATAATTCTTAAACAAAAATTACATGTGGATTGCAAAACTGCTTATGGATTATGGCCAATTTGAATAATTTAATTTCTTTACCAGAGCCTCAAAAATTGAGGTAATTACCTTGTTCTTAACTGGGGCTAGCAGTGAAGTTTTAGCATTCCCTTTGCCTCTCTTGTTTGCAGGAGTTAAGAATATCACCCACAGCTTTTGCAGCTGTATCCTTCTGTATTTTAATTACCATTTTGCATCCTGGATTTTTAGTAAAGAGAATTGACATTAATTGCTTTAAGAATTTAATAATTAAAATATTGTATTTAGCTTGTGGAGTGTTAGATGATAAAGGAAATCATATTAAAATGTATTTTAACAAGTAAGTATTATTTCAATATTTAGTTTTGCTGCAAAAGAGAGTGGCTAGCCCCAGGCACAAATAAATTCAGTAGGACCTTCTAAATTATATCCTGTGATTTCAGATCATCTCCCAAACCTGATGCTACGAAACTATCCCAAATTTCAGAACCTCCCTCAGGTTACCTGTCTGTTCCATGATGTGAATGTCAAACAGATCCGGTACTCCATCATAGTATATCAGTGTTAGCTCTGTTCCAGGAACAGCAAAACATTAAGAAGTTATAAAGATATACAAATAAAACTGTCTTTTTTTCTGACAGAAATAATTTTGTAAACATAACAAAAAGGAATAAAAATTATGCAATTGTCAAAATTTCACATTCTATGTGAGAATATTTAATTTTTTTTGTTGTTAAACAAAAGTAAATATGCAGTTAAAATAATTCAACTGTACCTGAAAAATAGTATTTAAAAGATTTTTGTCACTAAAATAAAATTTCAGTTAAAAGGACTTTTTAGCTTTATGTTGTGTTAATGCATACAGAGTACCCTACTCTCTTCTAGCTAATTTTCTTTTTAAAATATTGGGTAGGAGATTCATAATTAGGGCTGATAACACTCCTACAAAAATCCTATGATAGTTGTTTTATATAATTTGTTTTTTCCTCATTTCTATCAACTGCACTTATAGAGAAAATATACAGTTCTTCAAGATCTAGAGTGGCAAATCCTGCAAAGTGAGAAAGGACTTCCCCTGGTACAAACTTTTTGAAGAGTTTAAGAGAATTTTGAGAAAGCACATCATATTTTACTCTGTTAAGAACATATTGAATTTTCATTTACTTAACAAAAATAAAATACATTCATACAGTCTAGTGAGTTTTTGTGCCAATGCAGATGATTCCCTGATCAAGAAAAAGGAGAATTTCTTTGCTTCTAGTGTCTGAGGGACTCTGACCCTGAGGAAGTCATGAAACTTGACATTTCAAGAGACTGTTCCATTGATATAATTCCTACTTTTACTTGTCCTAGGTAAGTCATACCACCTGTTCAGTTGCTTTTGGAAAGTGCAAGAATGGCTAGGAACTATAGAAAAGGCCGAACCCATTCTCATAAACCAATATAAACAATTTGGTAAAGAGCAAGGAGAGGTAGTTCCCATTAGGTCACTGCAACTTTGCTGGTGTTTTTGGAATTTAAGGAATTTCAAGAAAACTTAGTTGAAAGAAAGTTGCATTATTAGTTTTGCTTGTGTGACACTTCATAGCCATGAATGGAGAAATGGGATTAAAATTGTTCCCATACTTTGTCACATTTAAAACAAATGGGAACATTTCAACAAATTGATTTGGGGTTGCCAATAATTCTCTTTAGTCCATTCTATTTTTGCAGCAATATGTGTTTGAGAAAGATCTTTTCAGCAGAAGTTTTGTTCTGACTTTATCCTCCTTGATCCTTCCACACACTGTATTGATTTGCATGGCTTCTACAGCGTCTGCTCTGCACTGCTGTTTGTATGCATCTTCTTATCTTAGCATATGTTTTCAACACTACTTCAAACTAGTTTATCTCCTGCATTTTACTTTGCATCCAGAAAGTTATCATTTGCCTTATGATTAGTTTTGGACACACTGCTCAGAGGACTACATTGACTCCAAAAAATACCCTGACAGTTTCCTTACTTTAGATCCTACATTTCCTTATTTAACATATTATTTTAAAGTATTTTCAGAAGCTAATGATTTTTTTAATATTCTCTCTTAGTTCACAGAACATTTGGCCACAACTGTATGCAAAAAGGAGATCCATTTGACTTTTGAGTTTCCAAAGGAAATTCTACATGACTTTTTACTTTATGTAATGAGAGTGTATACATTTTTTTTTGACATATTTTTTATGTGTGTGCTTTCAAAATTCATCTTTATTTCTGTTTTTCATAAATTATACTGGTGTTTCTGCTTTCTTAATCATCTTTGACTGCCTTTCTTGTCTGCAAGACACTTGGCACCTTTACTTCAAGGGGTGGATATTCTTGGTGGGTACCATTTCTAGGCATGGGAGGAACGAGATTAGTGTTCAGGTTGTGATACCCATGTATATGTTGAAACGTGAACACAACATCTAATGTTGCCATAAACTAGCTTGATCAATTGTGCTATGGCAAAAGAGACTACTGGGACACATAGCCAGCAGTCACCTGGGGTGTGGGAGGGTCTCCCAGAGCGGGCTGTTGTGCTAATTTCACTCTATTATTTCCCATAGAATCTGTAAAGTCTGATTCTTTGATATATGTCTTTGCTTTGAATTTGTTTTATGAATTTGTTTTTCATTACTTGATTTTATTTTGCATCAAGGCTGTATTTGAATTTGCTTGTTAGCAGCTACTACTACACTAAGAGAGGTTATAAGACATTGCTTTTTACAAACACATCTTCTACTAGAAAAACAATCTATTGAATATTTCTGTAGTTTTACCTAATACTGCATAATTTCTGTGAGTAAACTGGTAAAAGAGTAGTGTCTGTGTATGGATGCTGCACAAGAGTTTCTGTCTCCAGCATTCTCATCTGTTACTCATTTTCATTTCAGAGCTGTACACTTCACTGCTCATAGGTGAGCCAACTTTTCTGCATCTGTGGCAGACTGGAAAACCTTCTACTCCTTTTAAGTTAATTTTTCCTCTCCTTTTCAATTATGAATTGGAATTAAAATTGCTTTCTTTCCTATCTGTATTTTCATTCCTCTGATACAGATACTGGATACAATTATTTTGTTATTACATCAAGGAAGCTGTATGGGATTTTTGGGATTTAGTGTTTTGGGTTGGTTTGGGGCTTTTTTTGGTCAGATTTTTTGAATGGAACACAAAGAATTAAAATAAATTTTTACTATAATAACAATATTAAAATTTCAATTCAGTGACCAGAGAATTTTCTTAAAAGATGTGCTACTGTACCTGGGATTTTAAATAACTCTTTTGTTTTTAATTCCTCTGTCTCCATATTTATGTAAAACAATGTACAGGGTTCTATTGTCTCTCCTCACCATGTCCATAAACACTCTGTCCATGAGAAAATTATTCTTGGCTTGCTTTTCATCTCTTTTTCTTTATCCCTCAGTATCAAGCTTCATACACAACAGAATGGCAGATAGAGTGCATGGCAGACAGCTAATGGCTCATAATGACAGACTCATAAACAAGCTAATGCATGGTAGGGAAGGTTATTTTTTCTTTCATGCCCTACCAGAGGCATGCCCTTCCTTGTCCTCTTTGTTTTATTGGGGTTATGTGCAGACAGTACAGGAAAGGTGCTTTCACAGCTACTTAGTTTTTGAAACATGCCCTTTACTTTGAAACAAGCATGATACCTAGTATATTTGATCCAGAAAACAAAACCATGCTTTTGAGGTGTGAAGTCTCCCCTCCATCTGGAGGTTTGGTTGGTAGTAGAATAAAGCAGCAGGAGAAATGGATCTCAGCCCTGCACAGGCAGAGCAGTGACAACCACAGGCTCCATTTGAGTCTCTTCCGGAAGGAGGAGCAGAGCTGCCAGAACACCTCACAGCTGTTGCACAAATGTACATTATAGAATGAACTGGGATAACAGCTCCCAGTAATTCATGGATCACAGATGCTCTGAACCAGCACTGTTCTGCATAGTTGATGGAAGAACTTTTGAGTATGTTTGTTTTCCCTTATTGACTGCATTATTGTTAATCATGCAGCACTAATACTTTGTGGCTGAGCAGCAGGAAACCTGCCGGTTTGCTTTATTCTGCCTGCTGCAACCTGAATCCTCAGGAGGAGGAAATATTGCACCTCCCTAGGGTGAGATCTCTTTGGTAAAATATGAACCAGCAATTGAAAGCAGCACCAGAGGAAAAATTATGGCCAAGCCAGGTAGAATCATTATCAAAAGAGATTTTTTTTAATCTCTCTTCTAAGCAGAAATGATTGTCTGTCTTTAAAAACTTACGTTATTCTTTTGTATTTGTCTGCTAGTAAAACATAAATTTAGATATTGAGAACACAGTTGTGGTAGTTTTAGTGTGTTCACTTTAATGAAAAGCTGTGGGTATATCCACCTCAAAGCCTTGGTTCATTCAAGGTCCTCTCAAAGAAAGTTGTTGGGGCACAAGCAGGGAAGCATTTAATCAGTGACAGAGGGACTTGCTTTTTTTCTGATAGAAAAGTGTTAGACACTGCTAATTGGATCATCAGGCTTTCTTGGCATGTAGTTTCTTTCAGGAGAGCTAATATCAGTAGCTGTCATTCAGATTAACAGATGGAAATTTAAAGATGACTTCTGCAAATAAAACCCTCACTAAATTAATAATGCTGAGACTTAACATCAAGTAACATAAATTAATGAGATTTGAGGCGAAATCATTCATGATCAAAAAAACCATGACACAATAAAGATACTTAAGTGGCACAAAGGATTAATATAAATGTGCCCAAACACCTTTTTATTCCTTTGAACAGGAGCTATTATACAATACACAGTCAGGTTTCCAATGCTTTATATGTAGTATACAAGGGAGAGCCAGATGCTTTATCATGTTCTTTTGCTGAGAGCCAAAGCTTTACCAAATTAAACATTTGATGCCATGAAAATAACCCTTGAGCTACTTTTTTTTCCCTCACAATGATGCAGTTGATCTGGCTTAATTACTGTCAGTTCTGTCTTCCTTCCTTGAAAGGAAGCTGAAAAGTTGAAAAGTTGAAAATTTGCTAAGCTAGTGTACAAACTCCCACAATTTTGAGGAATAAGGGAAATTGAATCAGGGCTACAGACAGGGGGAAAGAAAGAATGTGGTTTCTGACTAAGCATGCAAGGAAGTCAGGTTCATTGGAGATGAATGGGAAGACAGTAGAGGAAGAGGAAGGAGCTATATGGGGGATAGAGCATTGTAATAGTAATGGGAGAGGAAACAGTTAATGTAAACTGCTGTTCAGTAGAGGTGGAATGTGTGGGCAGAAATGGAAAATAGGAAAAACAGTAAAAAATGAGACAAATATCCCAAAATCTACACCTAAAATTTCGATTCAGATGTATAGCGTGAGAAAAAATGCAGATTGAGTAAACAGCCACTGAAGCAAAAGTACAAAAACATTTGGAGGCCAAAAGACAGGAGGGAGCAAGCCACAATGTGATGTCATTAGGCATGTGATGGTCATTTTTAAACACATGAAGCAAGAAGAAGAAGAAGGACACAGACATAGGAAAGATATTCTGAGCAGTGATGGGAGGGAGGAGGTAATATGATGTATGTGGATGATGCACAAGATGGCGAAAGTAAAGAGCATCCCAATTGCAACAGATATCACCAGAAGATGTCAGACATGTAAATGGAAGTGGAAATGTGTTTGCATGGCATGGGAAGAAAAAGGATAGATCCAAGAACTGAAGAAAGCAAAGCTGGAAACAGTCCAATGTAGAAGAGGAAAGAGTTGAGTGAGGCATTAAGAAGGTAGGAAGTATAAGGATATAATACAAAAAAAAGTTGTGGGGAGTGGCAAGTGGTATAGGACAGAAAACCAAAGGAAATATCTGAAAAGCACAGTGAAAATACATCTGCACCACTTCACCACACAAGCTTGCACTATGTCATCCTGACATAGATGGGGAAAAGATGTTAATTTGAAAACACTTGCAGGAAGCTGCACTCTCAGTTACCACTGTGAATCCATGTGACCTGGGAGAAAAACCCACTATCGTTTTGATCAATATTCTTCCTCCCAGAGGACATTTTATGGTTGATTGACCTGATATGCCTTTAAAAAGCCAATATAGAAGTCAACAAATACAGTGTCAGAAGATAGAGATTTTTTTCTTAGTGTCACTTTGTGCTTGTAAAAGAATAAGAGACATTAAGCCTCTGTCTATTTGTTCTTCTGTAAAGACAAAAATAATGTGCTTGAACAGGACATATTAGAGCACCACACATTTGAACTCCTATCTGTATTTTGAAGTAAGCATTTACAATCCTCAGACTTCCACCTTTCCTATCTCTGCCACTTTCTGCTCCTTCATACTAGAATTTTAAGAATGTACATTGGCATTTGGAAAAATGCAACTTTCCTGTCGCTCTTTAATTTAGACAAAACAGACAGGGTCAGGCATTAAATTCCAGCATTTATTTCAGAGTATTCTTTCCTATAAAAGAGTCTACATTTGCATGAATACAATATAAATGAAACCCCCAAGAAACCAGAAATATGTCCTTGAAATTGGTAGTAGTATTATCTCGCAGGGTTTACTTGACTAGTTCCAGTGTCTGGGTATGTATGGGTATACTTAATAAAAAGCCCATATAGCATAGCCTCTATGTTTAGGATTTCTTTAAGTCAGAAAAATTTGCATCAAATAGAATATTTGTGCTTAAATATAAAATATTGACCCTTCATCATCACCTTATTTTAAAAAGTCATTTTGCACAGTGGCTCAGGTGAAGCACAAAGTAACATCAAGGCATAAACAGCACATGTTCAGCATGTAGACAGATCAGAGCCACTCACATTACCCTACTGAAATCTTGGGAAAAAAATCATTTGCATTATTAAGCTAAACACACAATATCAAATAAATACAGAAGAAAAATTTAGACATGCTCCGTAACTTAAATCCTGCATGCTTTTGCACTGAAAATCTTATTATTATCTATTAAGAAACAATCCCATAGTTTTCCATTTAGAATGCATAAAGCTACTTTAGAAAACTGGTTGCTTATAGAGAATTTGAGGCTGCTGAGGCAGCAGGGGCTGGTGCACACAGGGGCAGTTCTGTGGGGGATCAGCCAGGTCTGTCAGTACCTGTGGTAGCAGCACTGTGGAGTGAGGCAGGGAGCCTGTCCTGCCTATTCTTTTGGTGTATATGTCTGTACAACCAGTAAACAGAGACAAGAGGAGCCTGCTTTCTCCCATAGGATAGTAGGAATTCAAAAACATACAGGACAAAAGACTCTAAGGAACAACAAGTTCATGCATTGTAGTTCTGTTTTCCTTGTGAACACGCAGCATATGCTGACATTCTCTACCTCTCTGTATGGGTGAATGACCCATCCAGAGACAGTTTCAGATATGGAAGTATCTGGGTTTCCTTAGTTCGATCTAATAATCCATTAGCAAGTCCTAAAGCAAATAATTTGTGAGCTTGAGCACAGTCACTTCATAAGTACTATTAATGCCATTTTCACTAAGTTATACAACCAAAGATGAAAAAAGCCGCACACGCACACAAAAGAATAAACAGGAACCGCTCCGTGGATGTAGATTATCTCCTCAGAAACAAATGAAGCCTTTCAATTGAATCTCAGGAATTGAAGCTTGATACTCCTATATCATTTGGGGCCAAACATTGTTTAGTTGAAGGATAAAAGAGCTCATCAGAAGTTTTCCACTTGTTTTAATTCTGGATTGGGTCCAAGAAATGAATTTTGTTGTCCTGTGCTATTCATGTGCAGCTGTTCACAAATGTTAAATTCAGTTTAAAAAGCTATGCGTAAACAAGGTTATTATGGAATCCAGCTCAAAGCCAAGACTCATCCAATTTCTTTGTCTGTTTTTCTCTCCATAACTGTCAACTGGTCATGGTGTCTTAGCTGTCATTCTTTTACTCTTTCACATCTTAATGACTCTATTTTTGTAGCAGGACTCAGGCAAAACAGGTGCAGTCAATTTTAGAAAATGAGATTTCAGCATTTGTTTTCATTCTACACTAGAGCAAAAGACTTTTGGACCTTTTGAAATTTTTCATGGGAAAGGAGATCAAGTCTATCTTAGGATGGCTTCTAACTTGGTAGCTGGGGAAACACTTATTTTGCCGTCTTACTTTTTCTTTTTGTTGGTAAAACACGCATTAAATGGTCATTTTCAGTAGATTCCGTAGGTTTTGGTTTTGATTAGAAGTTCAAGTGTTCTTGATCATCTTTGACATCAGAAGCCTGATGTCAAGATGAAAGAATCTATCAATAAAACTTAAGTTTTTCAAGAAAAAAAAAGTATTTTCCTACAGGGTGCAATCTAAATGCAAAGAAGGCTTTGCTAAAAATAAAATCAAAGACTTATTACATTAGGTAGCTTTTATTTTCATTTTTGAAGTCCAAGATCTGACCAGTAAAACTCTTAATAATTTTAATAATTCTCCATACTTCAAGAAAACGAGACTTTCAAAGAAAATGAAAAGTTACTTTATGTTCCTCATTTGCTCTTCTAATAAAATCTAAAGTTGAAAAGCAAGATATTTCAGTTTCAAAATACTTGCTGAATTTTGGATGAATTTTCTACTCATGCAACCCGAATGAGACCATTTTTGTTGTCTTATTGCTTTGCTTTTGGAAGCCTCCTTCTCTACAATTTAGTTTCACTTTTCTGTAATTCAGCCCTACAACTCTTGCCCACAGGTTTCCTTGTTCTTAATTATATCTCCATCACTTTTAAACTGTTTTCCCTTAAGGATAAAATTTTAGGTTCTAAATATTTCCTCTTTATATATTAACTTTTTAGATAACTCCGATCTTTCAACAGCTTTCATCTCTAACTCTGTTCCTTCTCTTCCTGCTTGCCTATTTTATCATTATCTTTTCACTGTGAAGAGCTTTTACCCTGGATGGTATTCCAGGGGTGCCTTAGCAGTGCTAGAAGTCTTCAAACACATTTAATCTCACAGTCAGTACTATTCTTTAAATTATTCTTCTTGATATTATTTTATGCTAAACCCCCAAGGATCAAATCCTTAGCTGTTTCAAAGTGCATACTGAAATGATCGTAGCTTTATGAATTACACTAACCACAGTACCATCTCTGGTACACTGCGACACTGATATCTGTGACACTGATATTTTCCTGAAAAGTTAAAAGTCCAGTATTCATAACTAATAAAAACCCTCTGAATCTAAGCATATAAGCTTAGTCAAAGGATAATGATATCATCAATAATTTTTGTCTTCTGAGACGCTGACCATTAGCTAACAGAAAGTGTGTATGTAGATGATCTTGGGCTTTCACATGACTGTTCACCGAAATTTTATATCTGTGAAGTTTCCTGAGTAAAGGGAACAGATGGGGCATGTTGAGATGCTGGTTGGTAACTCTGCTGTATGAAGTTAACTGAAGAAGCTGCTAATCATCACAATTTCCAGAATCAAGATAGATAGAATTACAACTCAAAGGCATATTCTGTTCAGCAGGAAAATGACCAAAGAATAAAGATTTTTTGCAGCTTTTGTGCTAGAAACAGTCTACAAAGTGACTGAATTTCCAGAAATTTAAAGCTGCTCCAGAATAAGTTATATTCTGTGCTGAGTCTTTCACTCCCTACATATTGTGACCTTACAAAGGGTAGAAGCTAAAAGGAATACAATTCGAGAGCACCCATTTTTATCATCACAGTTGCAGCATTATCAACAAGACATATTGTGGGTGATATAGGCAAGAAATTAATACCATTTTTACAGAATGAATGCTCACACTCCTGCACTCAGTCTCTCTCTGACTCTCTCTTATGCCTGATGATAAAAATTTCTTTAATATATCACCTATTAAGCTTCATGACTATTCAGAAATTGTTAGAAAAAATGTCAACACTTTCTTTTGGTACTCTAAAATTTAAAGAAAGGGAAAATGGAAAGGAAGATGCTTCACATTTTCTTTGAATTGTTGACATAATGTAACGTTCAATCACTGCAGCCAAATGCATTATTCTGAGAAAAATTTTAATATTAGAAGCTTATATATTCCAAAAGCTGTAATTCAATGTAAGAATAAGAGAAACCTGAGCTCAGTCCCTGTGGAATTATTATCATCAATATTGTTTTCTTCTCTAAAGTTTTTTTTTATCTAAAACTTTTACCTATCAAAGAATCAAAAACTTCAAATTGGAAGTTTGGTTATTCTTAGTGTTTGCTTATCCATGATGGGACCTAAAGTCACTTTTCAAACAAAATTCACAATAACACTCTCAGACCACTAGAAGTAGTTCTGTATCTTTAGAACTCATTATTCTTGTCCTCACAGGAAATGGAATGTGATGGCAAAATTTCCAGTTGTAGGTGCACAGCCAGTGCAACTACCACACCACTATTCTATGAAACTTCAGTCTCAGGATGCTACAAGACTTTGAAACTTTTAGAACCTCTGGATTTTCTTAGCCGTAGTGGAGTGTGTTCCCTTTTATTTTACATGCATTCTTTTGAGGTGTTCCTGGGTCATTATGCATCCTGGGGAAAAGAAAGAAAATCAGAGGAAAAAAAAGCTACTCCTCAGATGAAGGTGAAATGCATGATCCATAGCATTGTGGATCTGTAGCATGTAAATGAAGGTACACAAAGAAATGAGATGGTATATAAAAACTTGCAGAATAGGAGTTATTTTTGAACTCTTGTAATACTTTACACTTAAAGAAATTACGGTGTTTAGAGACATCCATACAGAATCACAGAATATTCTCTGTTGGAAGGGACCCACTAGGTCCCTTCTCCTAGTCCATCTCAAGTGAATGGTTCATACAGAGATCAAATGCACAACCTTGGCACTATCAGCACCATGCTCTAACTAACTGAGTAAATATATTATCTGAGAAATTATTGGACCTGGGTAGTACACAAGTAAAATCAAACATTCATTTTAGAAACAAGTATCTGATCATCTTTTAAATCCTTCAGGTATTCTTGGTCCCACGACTCTTTCCCCAGGGGATACGCAACATACCAATACTTGATTTTGCAAAATAAATGATTAGGAGATTCTAATCAAAACCAAGCTGAACTATACCTATTTAAAATTCATTTCTACTTTTAGACCTGACTTTCACATTCATCAAGTCAGTGAAAAGTGACTATGTTAAGTAGGTATGAATCATGCTCCACATTTAGCTATCCATCTCTTAAACTGGGGCCAGAGCCAAGATACTCTCTCTAGTTTGCATGGGATGTCTAACTTTTAGACAAGCTAAAATTAAGTGAAATGAATCAAATCCATAAGTTACTCGAGGCTTTAAACGAAATCTGAAATTGAACTCTGTCCCACAGGCATAAAAATGTTTCTTAAACATAAGACCATATTTCTTCCTAACATTATATGTAAGAATACTGTTATCTCTGGCACTACTTGAAGTTTAAAAGCCTAGCCTGAAGTTAACATCTTACCATATGTGTTTCATAGAATTTTGCAGTTTTGTTTGGTTTGGGATTTTTTTAAAGACAGAAAAAAGGAAGGCCAAACATAAAAAGATGGAGCTGTACTCCCCAGGATCTGAAGCTTTTCTAGCTTTATCAGCTCCTGCAGGGGAAGGATCCTCATGAGGGGTCTATTCTTTCAAGTTCCTAACAAAGTGTGATGGTAATCATCCCTAAGCCTTTATAGAATAGAGAAATTCATGTGTCTTTTTGCACTACTAAGCTGAGAAAGACCACACACTGTATACTATAACCTTTCCTGTGATTGCCTCAAATATGTTTTGTCTTATTTAACGATACTCTTCATTATGGTTTTTCTATACCAATGGGAAAAAAATTATAAAAAAACTTATCTTATGCCAGTTTCCTTCCTTGGAATGTACTTGAGATAAATCATACACATGCAAATACTTTCTTTTCTTGAATCCAAGGAATTCTAAATTTCCAGAGGAGAGAAACCTCCTTCACACATTTAACAAATAGAACAACGACATGTATTCTAGATAATTAAACAGAAACTTCTGTTAATTTTGATGTTATCTTTCTATGTAAAATTGAAAAATGGGAAATCTCTGTTGTTTTTATGACAATTTAAGAAATTTTTGCTCCTACCTATGTTACATGTTTTTCTGTCCACTTCTACATAAAAATATGGAGAAATATTTTTCATTATCTTTCTGCAAGAAATTTCTTGCACGTTCTATATACTTAAAATCAAGCAGTTTTTTTTCAATTAATTTTCCATTTTTTAGCTTAAATTAAATTAATCTTCAAAAGCAAATAAATCATTTTTGTTAGATGATGAAACTTTGAATGTGTTACAACTGCTAAATTAATTTCAAGCAGAAAGAGATACACTGTTTTGGTTATAGTTTGCAGTCTTGCCCCAATTAAGAATTGCCACAATTAACAATTACCAAATCTTTCCTGAAGAAAGTTAAGTGTCTTTATTTGTATCTTAAATTCAAAGAGGCAAGTCCAAAGATGAGCAGTAATTCTTGCACAGTTAAGAAAAATACTAAAATATTACAGAGCTTTACCATTCTTTTAATCACTGGACTATCCTAAAAAAGAAATCATAATAAAAAGGAAATTATTATAAGCAGTAATATTAATTCTTCCTCTGAACATAATTTTAAAAATTGGAAAAGAAGTCAGTTCCAGAATGTAGGGGCAATAAAGGCATTATGGAAAGGACATTGTAACACAAGTTTTGACTCCCCTGGTGACAGTGGTTCTGTGCAGACACAGATGAGTGTCCATCTGACTGTTCCCCTGAGCTCAGATGGACCAGAAATTATTCGATTTGCAACCAATGAGCAATTCTTCCTGTGATAGCTGAAATTTTATGAGAAAAATATGCTTTCAGCATCTTCAGTTCTAACCCAAAGAGATTGTAATGAATCTTTATACTTTGCAGAAGAGAAAAGTGGGGAAGTGATAGAGGTTCTTGGAATTCAGATATTGTTTAACCTCAGATATCTGGTGCTAATTTTCACTTAGCATTTGTACACTCATTTTGAATTTCATTTGCCATGGAAGTAAAAAAGGGAATTCTAGAATATAAGATCTGCCCAAAAGGTCTCTATAGATGCTTCAGACTCTGCTTAGACTTCAGCTTTCTAATGAATAAGCTTACCTGTAACTCGACAGTTCAGTAAAATTTATTGCAAAAATCCAAGTCTTTATTGAAAGCTCTCATGTGATCACCCCAGTGTATTTGAGATCTAATTGGATAAATCCCTTTGGAACCAAATCTGTTAACATTACTTATTGGTTTGATTGCTGTCATCACCAAACACTGGTGATGGATCCCCCACAGGTAAGGTAAACAAAAAACAATTGTGTTTGCATTTTAAAAGTAATTAAATATTAGGGCATGCTAAGGGAATAAAACAGGCTTTCTTTTTTTCATGAAAAACCTTTGAACTTTAAAATAACCCATTTTGCTTGAATAATATTTTTTTTACTCATTGATTCATGGAATTTTCTTTACATTTTAAAAGCCATTCCACCACTGCAGGATGCTTAGTGCGTGATCAGCAGTGGATGTATTTGTCTCAAATGAGTCATCTGCCTTCTTCTGCTGAGATCAGCAGCAGGCTGCTCCGCCTTGATTTGCTCTGTACTAAAACATACTCTTTGCCTTCATTCCTCAGTAAGAAAAGGTGCATGACAACCAGACCTAAAAAGTCATGTCATCCTGTGGACTGGCAATCAGTTATAGGGAGGTTTTGTTCTTCTGCTCTGATAGCTGTATATATAGATGGTTTTCATTTAATATAGATATAGTAAAAATACTGCTAGAATTCACTGAATCTTTCTCATTTTTAATTCTCAGATAACACCTGAATGACTAAAAAAACTTCATAATCTTTTAGTTCCAGGGGAAACCAAACCTCTGACTTACATTCAAAGCATTCATTAGGAGACAACCATTAAATCTGCTGTACAGAGAATGACTTTTCTCTGTCTTCTTTGTAAGGATCCCGGTCATGATCTTTTATTTCCTCATTAAAATGATACCATCTTCTTTCCTATATGTGACCTGCTTCAGTCTTGCAAATGTTGCTAGTATTGATCTATACCTGACTTGAAGATAATAAGGTTTTGCAACAAAACCTGTGGGATTCTGAAAGCTGCCTGCAAAGTCTGATCTTCCGCTGAAGTTAAGTGGGTTCTGCCTGTGCTTCTGTTTTTCCCAAGTGCTTTTGTCAATTTCTGCTTTAAGATATATTAAGTACTTTTAAGCAGTGCCTTTAGTTTATTGGTACTCTAGTCCTAATTATATGACCAAGCTATATACCTTTGCTTTTAAAACACATTTATTGACATCCTGTCAGGCAGTACATTGATATTTATACTTAAATTGTTTGGTTTAATGTATGACTTGGCCTTGACTCCTGTTATCTAGAAGAATTATTGATTCTTTCTGAACCCAGTTGGATCTGCAATCTTCAGATACAAGCTTGTTAACCAACCCATATCTAAGATCAACAACTTTGACAGAGTTTGCCTTAGGGGAAAAAGGAGGGTGTTACAAACCCCATGTGTTGAATATTGTGCCTTTGTGGCTTGCAGAAGCCTTGGTGGTAGAACTATCTGTTTCTGAATTGCTAAAAAAATAGTTCACTTCACTGATTTACACTGAGCTATATTTAAACAAAAGCCAACGAAGAAAATCTCTACATTACTTTGGATTATTGCAGCATGTTTCTTTGTACTGTTAGTGCATTACTAGCTGAGGAACATACCTATAATCAAATACCAGATCAAGTAGTTCAGTACTTCTGTCTTTTATTACAGATTTTGCACTACAGTCACTTTGAGTTTCCCCAGTAGGACCTGACCCTGGGATTAGCTCATTTGCTTAGAGCATGGTGGTCAAAGGTCCAATCCCCTTATGGGCCATTAACTTTAGAGATGGACCAGATGATCCCTCTGGGTCCCTTCTAGCTCAGGCTATTCTGTGAGTGGAAAATCTGTATGTCCTTTGCTAAGACTGTCTGATTGAGGACTTTTTCTGTGCAAATGCAGATAATAAAGGGCATAAGAAACAAAAAAACATAGACATGTAGACTTAACACATAAATGTAAGACCAGGACAAAATCAAAACCTCATTAGTCACACTACATTACTGATGGGCTATCAAGAGCCCACAGACAAAGTGAGGACTTCTGACCAGGAAAGTCATGGATGGTGGAGGTTGGAGGGTGGTTTTCAGTGTGACTATGAAAAATCATGAAGGACTGAAACTCATGAAGGGTCCTACACCTGGACAATGGCAATCCTGGACACAGCTAGAGGCTGGATGCAGAACAAGAGCAGCCCTGCAGGAGAAGGACTTGGGAGTGACTGCTGATGTAAAGCTCAACACAAGCCAGCAATGAACAAGGAGGAACATGAGAAAAAAGGAACAAGGGTGGACTATTTAACTGACTAGCCTGAGAACACCAGACCAATATGTAAGCTATACTTCTTTTACCTTCCTGTTCTAGAAAAATGTAGGTAGTTGCCAATAGAGGACAAGATGAAAAATGTATGCTGGGGCATCTGTATTCAAATATCAATTTGGATGAAATTAATTTTACTTGGGAATTCAAATTTGGCATTTTAAAGCATTTTTATCTTTATGCATTTTTAAAGGTTAAATACTAAGGCTGGGGACTGGGACAAGTTGTGTAAAATACCCAGAGAAATTTCTAGGAATAGTTATTAGAGACAAACAATGTATGCTATAAATGCAGTTCTGACCATATATTACTGGGAAGGAATTCTTTGGGTACTTGCGAAAAGTCAGATTTATCTCTTTATGAATTGCAAGACCCATGGAAAGAGGTTAGTTATTTCTGAAATACCTTTGGAATTCCAGACAAAGAGGGCATTATCTTAGAAATATCATAGCATTATGTTATGATGAGGTAAAATATTTAAGAGAAGAAGGAATTAGGCTCATATAGCTAAGTTTAGAATAAAATTCCAGTTTTCCTTTCTGGCAAGAAAATATCAAGAAAATGACTGTTGCATTACTTACAGAGTCCTGTAATACTCCAATATCTTCTCTCTCAGTTCTCCAAATAGTTCTTGTTGCAAGTAAACGTTCCAAAAGAGTTGCGTACACCTTTATTCATAATTTATCTTTGTATTAGGGGATAATTTTATTTAGAAAATAGAGTGACTGGGCTTAAGGAACCAGAGCAAAATGGCAGTATAACCTACAAAATATAAGCACAAATTCACTATGTGAGCCAAGAAGGATGTAGCCTTCCCCCTATTTATATTCTGCCCAAAATGATCCATGGCAAGATTGCAGTCACATAGTAAAAAAAAGGAGTCTGTGATAGAATAAAATTACACTAATGTTCACATCAAGGTTTTCATCAGGGAAAGCTATGCTTAGTGGAAGGTTTTCTCATATGGATTGGATTTTGGCTATTGGGTTGTGCAAGGACCTTGTTTTCTTATTAGCTATGTATGTAGAAGGAGAAACCTCATAGAATGAGCTAACTCAAAACCAGCTATGTCTGTCATTGGGTCTACTAACAATGCTGTTGATGTTGGGTCTGTCATAACAAAATTTTTTCTTCCTTTCTTTAAATCTTGATGATGGCAGAATGGACACTGGAAGACTAGCATCATGATTTGGAAAAGAAGAATATGAAAAAAAATTCTGCTTCTACATTTCCAAGAAGTCGTGGGATCTTCCTCCAATGCATTGCACAAGAAAGTTTGTGAACTGGTAAGTAGATATTGGCATAGGAGGGACACTCCCCCACAACAGGGATTAGAAACAGTGAAAGCAATATCATATTATTTATGACATTCAGATCACAAGCATTATGCATTTGAGATATATGCTTCGTATTTTTGCCTGTTTCTGCTTTGGGTTGTTCCTTTCTGCTAGCTAAAGGAAGAATATGTTCACTGACATTTAAAAAAACTATGTCAGATCTTAGAATTTCTATTATTCATAATTATTGTTAAAATACATTTTATGGGGGTTTGAGCATAAAATATCCATTATTGAGTAAGTAATGGTGAATTGCAACTAAAAAAATGCCTGTAAAAATAAGGACGGAAGGGTCTTCTGAATAAATAATTGTTATTAAAAAAAAAACAACAAAACCAAACCAAAACAAACATGAAGCATTGCTGATGCTCAGAGGGAAGTTTGTAATACTACAGAGATTAGAAATACTAGATGATGCACTTGAAGTTTCTGTAAAGAAACAACTAAGCTGACTTTCTGTATTACAAAAACTTGATGAAAATTTGATATGAGAAGTTGAGACCTAAACTTCATACTAAAAAGCAAGTTTATAGTTTTTAAATCTCTCCTATTTTGTAGCATATGCCTGTGTCTTGACCTTTGCTATTTCAGCAAAGCCAGTTTAAAATCATCTTGTTTGAAAAAGAAATTACAGGTACTGATTTAATTTTGAATACATGTTTTAATAAAATACAAAAAGAGCGGAGGTCTGACATTAGTGCTAGTGGCAAATTTTAAAAAGTAATAACCATATTCTTATTGATTTTAGTGATGCAGAATCAACTACAGTTGACTAACATGACATGATTTTATTTTTATTTTCACCTACTTTAAGATTTAAAACAATTTTAGAACTGCATCTGGAAATAACAAAATATGTCAAGAATATAGTGGCATATTGTATACAAAATGAATTGTTAATCTACAGAAGGAAGCATGTCAACACTCTACAAAAGCAATGCAGGTCAAGTCACTCTCTTCTCAGGTAGACACCCATCACTTTTATGCAGGAAAATGGTTTGACTCGTTTTGTTTATATTGCAGATAAAGTGGGAAAATATTAAGTATGAACATGAAGAATTTTCTTTATTTGCTAAATAGAATAAAATGTGAGCTTGACAGGAAAAAAAATAGCACCTTGAAAAGACTGAAGAGCTAAACTGCACTGAAGACTTGTTTCTAAAGGTGCAGCAAAAGTAAAATGACCTTTGATGGAATGGGAGAAAAATGGTATCAGCAAAAATGGATCATTTCTTAAGATGATTTGAGCTGGTAACTGAATTTCTGGTCCAAATCAAAAAATTACTTGTTACAGTGAGCTCATGGGCACTCTGTGCCCCCTTCCCCGGGAACCTGTGACTCTGATCAAGATAACCCTGGACCCCTCCTTCCTGCCCCAACGGGGTTGGTGGAGAGCCAGGGAAGCCCACCCTGTCCAAAGTCTATATAGACCCCCTGACATTTCCTGTTTGTCCTCTTTTGCCCCGCTCTCCACATGGACATTACAGAATAAAGAGAGCTGCACCAACATATATTGGGGGAAGAACCTCTTTTGGGAATCTTTGTCATCTCTTGATATTCCTCCCCTCAAAGCCTCAGATCTCTGGGCTAGCCTGATAATTCAGGGGGCTGCGTGAGAGGGGGAACGTCAATTACTGATTCAGTTAAGCCCAAATTTCAGCCAGTGGTATTCCACTCAAGTAGTTGTAAATTTTCTGTCTCTCAGGCAAAGAAAAGATCTTTACCCTCTAGATGAGTAATTATTTTGGGATGTGGTACTCCTCTATTTTTAGACTATGAAAAGGGGGGAAGATAGATCTGGTTTTGGGAAATTACTGGTACAGATGCAGACATTCTGCCACTTCAGACTCAAGGCTAGCTATGAAAGAATTTTCAATCCCCTTTAAGTTCCTTCTCAGCCTGGCGAGTTTTCATGTACAGAATTATTTTAGGTGTGTTGTAATCATATAAGGCACATTAGAGCTTTATGTATGCTAATTAAAAAGAAAGCTGCTACATACTAAAATTCTTTGAACACTTTTCCTCTGAAATTTAGAAGTAACTTTTTGCCACTGTGCTACCAACTACCCAGATGAGTAGATAAAATTGCTATGAGCAGTTCAAATACTTAAATTTAATTGACAATATAGACTATCAGTGAGAGGAAATATCATAAATACAGGGGAATATAATGTATTTTTATTACTTAACCTTGCACAGTCATTTATTTGAGGCATAAAAATGTTTGTGGGACAAGTAGTGATAATAACATTTTGAAACAAGACATTTTCAAGATGAGAGAAAATAAAAGGTGTCATCAAAAAAGGAGAAACAAAACAATGATATATAAAATGTGGAAAGAAAATTTTGAGAAACTGACAATACAAAATAAGAAATTATAAAGAAAATATATGAAGTATAGGATTCTTGGTATTTCACATTTACTGATTGCTGCTATGTCTAATTTTCACATTTGAATTCCAGGTGATAAAATTTTCCCCCAACCCAGAGCTGATCTATACATCATATTTCTCATTATGTATACTCTTCTTTTTTTCCCACATTCTCAGCCCTTTGATAATTCATTCCAGAGCTTGTTTAATAAAATTCAGGGCAAGCATTAAGAAATTATAGCGTTACTGCCTGTACCAGAGCATTTTTCATATAAAATGATGTTGAAGTACACTCCAAACTGGTTTACAGGTTTGAAATTACAGTAAAGTTTAACCTGGGGTTGGTGAGAAGGAATGTGTAAGTTTAATTAAGAGGAATTCTGCATTTCCCTTGCAGCCAAGTATCCTCATGATTTGCTCACCTTTACACTTATTGGAAAATTTGGACCTGTGCCAGCCGGTGTGCAGTGGTGTGTAGGAAGCCTCCCAGGAACTGGTCTCTCAAGTCCTACAGAACAAGCAGATAGCTCTGGTAAGGTACTCCAGCTTCTTTGGGAAGATGTCTTTATTGTGCCCTGACATGGTGAAGATGATGTCCAGACCAGCTGAATAAACAGTTGCTTATTCACACCTTGCTCAGCCGTAAGGGCTTTGCTTTTGAAGTTAAATAGAGGAATTACTTTGTGCTTCTGATACCATAAAATAATTCACAAGAAAAGAGGAAACATATGTCTCCTGAAATATTAGCTACCATGTCTCAGCACATCCTGTGTTATGGAGAAATTGCCCAAATAAACCTAACTCTTTTTTTTTTTTTTTCTAAAAACAAGGCATTTATAGTTGATCTTCAAAACAATTAAAATATGAACTGACAATATCTGCTGCCACCTCATAGTATAAATGCAGGGTCACTGTAAAGAGCTGTGGAAAGGTCACACAAACAATCAAATTATATCTACAACTAAATATAAATAAATGGGATAAATGTGAAAAAGCTTTACTGCTATGATGTACACAGTAATGAGCAAGTCAAATCTAGGAATGACTAACAAAATAAAAGAAACTAGAGAAATCATTAATGGAAAAGGTACAAAGAAGAGCAGGAAGGACATCTGTAACTGTAGGGATGAATGGTCTTCAGTCTGCAGAAAAGATGATGGAGAGGATCATGGGTATCAGTTTTTAGAAACAGAATTTGAAAAAATCAGCCTCAGCTGTTTATTATCTTGTTCAGTATATAATAAGGAGCTCCACTAGAACTAGCATGTTACAGACAAAACACAAACTTCTTCCTATGTAACTAAGTTGGAATTTCTTTACCACGGGATGCTGCAGAGGCCATATAATTTCATGAGATCAATAAGAACATAGTAAATTTGTGTCAGAAACACCCCACTGATGGTTATTAACTACCACCAATCCCTCTGTGGCCCAAAAAGCAGCAGAACATTAAATCATGGAAGTGAAGTGAGTATCTTGGGGACTGTAGTATTGCACTGCTTATATTTGCTTTTCTAAGTGTTTTATTGCTAGCACATGCTGGAATAGGTTGACCTTTGATTTGACCCATTATGATCCCATTATGGTATCTATTACTTTTATCAACTGGAGATCAAGGTATTTCCATAATAACAGAGAAACAATAAGGGATTGGTCAGTAAGGAGAGCTCAGGCTGTACTGTGACAAATTGAAATCACATCAGAAGAAATTAAAGTATGTTGCTGTATTTGTAAACAGTTCTTAAGCATAAAGTCTCATACTCTGCAAAGCTGAAATGTAAGTCAGACAAAACAATTTTTTTATACATACTCTTCCTGAATTTCTGTAGTTATTAAAACTTGAATTGACTGGCATATTAAAAAAAAGGTCCACCTGTCGGTATGCTTTCAAAAAACATTTCCTTATGGATAGTTTAATGGCCAACAGTATAGGAAGAATTGAATACATTATGATGCAATGAACTGAACATTAAGAAGACAAAGAACAGATCCTGTGTCAGTCCAGTACAGCTACTGAGCTGGCTGCCTGTTTGTCACCCATGCAGAATCATTCAGGACCAGGCTCTTGGCAGCAACTGTGGCTCACAGGGGACCCACACTGGAGCAGTCTGTTCCCGAAGAATGACCCATGCTGGAGCAGGGGACCGGCATGACCTGCAACAGGGTTACCACACTTCGGGAAATTCACTCTTTATTTCCCAGGTAAAATTACTTGGATCGCATTTCTTTACTTCTAGATAAAATCTATACAGTAATCAGAGCCCTTCTAGTGTGATTTTCACTCCACTTTTCATAGGATCATATGAAGTTTTTGCATGAAATGCCTAGTTAAATACTTGGAGTGCTGAAAAGATGTAAGAGGGAAATATCACTCTGGAAATAAGTGTGAAAATGCTAAACTTTCCATTATTTCCATTGTCTAAGGTGCCCATGTGACTTTTTGATTCCTCCTATCCTATGAAGACAGCTAAGAAGCATGTGAGTGTGTAGGTGTGCACTGTATCACAGCAAGGCTGATTCATCTGAAACAGTCAAAAGAGAGTTAGGAGCTTTTGGTCTGCATCTTTACCAAGAGATCTAATTAAAATGAATTACATGGATGCTGAGGCAGGAGCTGGACTCGTCAAGCACACAATTCTGCATGTTCAGCAGCTAAATGTGGGTGCAAGGAACTGCTCTATTACTGATTGTATATAGATGTATGGTTTTTACCTTCCCGGTAAAGTAATAAAATAATTTTTTAAGTAACTTGAGCACTATTAATAATGCTATAGCTAACAACACAACAGAAAATGCAATCTTGAAATTAAACATTTCTTTTTGTATTACTGATATTTTCTACATACAAGTATTGGTTAAAAATGCAGACTAGGCAATATTTTCATTTTAATTATTCAGACATATATTGAAAATAAATTTATACATTATTAGGAAACTCTGAGATGGATTTCTAGTCATTGTGCTAGCCAATGTAAAGTGGGTGTCAAGAAAGTAGTGATTCCAATGTATGAAAAAATTACAATGCTGTGAAATGACATATTGGGATTTTAAAAACGGTGAGATACTATAGCATGCCCCATTGTAATTTGCTTATTATTTTTCTATAGTAGGTATGTTGATTAAATAATTAAATGGAAAGAGAAAATAAATGCATTTGACACTGTCTTGAAATGTTCCTTACAGACAGCTATGCAGGATGACCTATCCTTTAATATTGTTCCATTCAGCAGCTGTGGAAAGTTGAGCGGAAAGTAACAGTGCTAGAAGAATCCATAAATGTAAGGATGAGTTGAAAATTAGGCCAAGGAAAAGACTGCTCTAGGAGGTTAGAAAAGAAGGATAGATTTCCCAATACAAGTGTTTGAAAAATTGATATTTTGTCATATGGTGCCACTTGACCTAGTCAAAATGTTGCTTATTTTGGAGATAAGATACTAAGTCATAGAGCAGGCCCTCTGTGTATGGGAAAGGTTTGTACAGCATTGTCAAAACTGCTAAATGAAGTAAAGCTTTTTCCTTGTCCTAGAGCCATGAAAATATGTGTGTTGAGAAAACTCATCTCTTAGGATCATACAAAATTTTATTTGCAATCTTAAGAAAGGAATATAAGCCTGACCAGGAACAGGGCCATTCTATATGTGAAATGTGATATATTCTTCTGAGGATGTTTTGGCTCTCTCAGTCATTCTGTGTGTTGAAGGGAAGGTAGGGGTGTGACACCTGGAAGAGCCTACTCCAAGTTGCTTTAACTAGAAACTGCAGAATCTCAGGACAGGACACCAAAGAATTCAGCAGATTAAAGAAACAAAAGACTATGAATATTTTCTCTGACTATTAGCATTAAGTGATGCTGCATCTCCAATGAGTTCATTATTTATGACACTTTTTAAGACTTCCAATCTACAAGAGGAATAAGTATTAAAATAATTTAACAAAAAGAACTATAATTTATGGAATGTTTCCCTTACTCAGAGAATGACCCAAAAATATAAAGCATTGTAATTTTATTCCAGCACCATTACTGTAAATTATTCTGTATTAAGATTTTTTTTATAATAGTATAAATATGCAAAATTCCTCTTCTTGAAGTAAGTGACCAGTTTTGCAGTATTACAATGACATATAAAATCCTTCTATCAGCAAATCAATCCTCTAGTCTTTTTCCATACAATGCAAATATTTGATGTTTATAGAATTTTTAAGTAACATATGATTGCACTGCATTTCATTGACTTTTCATGCAAAAATAAGTTAAAAAGATGTTAAATAGTTATACAAACAGAAATCTTCTAAGACATGTCTGTGCAACTGGCTGAGGAAATTGATCAATGTGATCTTAAGGGCAGATCAAATATTGTATGGATTTATTAGTAAAATTAAATTAACAGTGCACAAAAAAAGTTCAAAATTAGTTTGCTGATTAATTTTCATGTACATTGAGTAACATCTTCAATATTATTTATTGCATATACTGTAAATATTGCCTTATTACAGAAAGAATTTTTAACAGAATTTTTTTCTGATCTACCACTACCAGATCAATTTGTACAGTATACAGAATCTAGTTTGTCAATCTTTTTATTTCTAGTGATAAATTATTTAGTTCAAGCAAAACATTGACAACATTCATTTTGAAATCAGGGCATAAACTACAATTAAAGACCTTAGAAAACCATAATAAATCATCATATTATTTGTATAAATCTCTGCTAATTATCTGATATGTAAAGATGGCAGGTCATTCATACAGTTTGGAAATAAATTTGAGTTCATTCATGGGCTTATAAAATGAGTAATTATTATTCATAGTATCAAAGTCATTATAGTAGTATTTAATCTACACATTTTTAGAATACAGCTTCATTGTCTAAAGTGTAAAGGAAAATACAAGTAAATTCTTACACAATGAGCTAATATTAGCATTTTTTTACTCTTTACTATTCAATTTGTTATTCATTATTTCTCTGATTAGAAAGAAAGTGTTAAATGAATTATTTAACTATGCACTTATTTGGAAGCTGTTATACCTCAGGAGTGACTAAAATTGGTGCAGGTGATATCTGTAAGAACTAAAGAGAAAATGTTAAGCACTACAAAGCAGAACACATTGACAAGGAAGTGAGAGGAAAAATCAATGGATCTGTCTCTGCTTTGATTTACATCCTTTGCAAACACCCAATGGAGGATTTAAATAGTTATAAATCACAATGTCTCTTCCAGAACCAATGGAAAGATCCATGTTTAGGCCATCTGAAACTCCGTCCAATATCTGGAAGTAGATGCTGCCAAGAGCTGGGGAATAAGATGAATTTGGCCCTGTCTGATCTACTGAGAACCTTGGATGTTAACGACAGTACTGGCTTAAAAAATGTCTGTTTATTTATTTTCTGATATATTCTTCTTGCTTCTTTTCACTGATGACCATTAGTGGATGTAAATGTAAGGCCTGTCTCTTTTTCTCTCACTCATTTAATATTACATTATTTGTAATCTCTAGAACAATCAGTGAAAGTAGACATATCTATTAATTTCTTTATTCCATTTGCTCAGACTACGCGATTTCTGCTCTGTCAGCACTCTCTCTCATTCAATACATACCAGTCAGTGCATGGCATCACCTTCCTTAAAAACTGGAAAGACTACAAATAAAAGAAAAAAAAATGTTTTTACTATGGGATGGTAATTCAGAAATGTTCTCATCAGTAACAGACATAGTCTCTTAGAGTCATTGTTATATATATTTTCCCTTACTTTGCAACAAAAGTTTATCAAAAGCCAGTAAGTAGCATTTCTTGGTGACAATAGCATTTTATGTTCTGATGCCCTCTTCTAAAGACAAATATTTATCTAAGGCAGATTAAAGGCCAGATAAACAAGCAGAGTTTATGGGCTGCTAGTTCTTTTGCAATATCCAGGAAAAAAAGTCCTGAACTGCACTAAGAAGGGAACAGCGAGAGAAAATACAGGTGTAACAAATGGCAAAGGAGTAGATGTAAAAGAGTAAATGCAGCTGGCCAAGCCTTACTAAACTAAGATGACAACAAGATGAGAAATGGCAGAAATGAAAAACGATGTATAAAAAGAGGCATTACCTTACAGAACTGCTGACCAAGGTGTAATTTTTCAGGTCAACCGCATCATGAATAACAAGAAGGTGTAAAAAGTCAGCAGAACTGAGATCCCTGGGGAAAGAGTAAATAGGAATAGCTGATGGTAAAGATGAAGAAACTGGACTGTGAAAAGAGCTGTAGGAAAAGGTAGTAAATCATGTCATTGGGGAGTGATCAGGAACATGTCACACAGCCAGTGCTTCATCACAATTTAGAGCAGGACACTGGAACCTCTTTCCACTGTAATCATGTACAACTTACCTCCAAGACCATGTGGGACATGAGTCAACTCTCCCTATCATCACTGAGGGAACATCAGGACATTATTCCTAATATCAACCAGTAGATGCCTGGAGAGTACAACTTATCAAGGCCTTTTACTCTCTTTAGCATCTGAACCGAGTGTCACATTACAATGCTTTTTTACAGCTTATTAAATATTTATAGAGTATATATTATATAAATACAAATATATAAATATTTAAGATATAAATAGCTTAAACAACAGAGATGAAGAATCCCACCCTTTCTACCATTTTTGGGCTGCTTTTACTTTGGGGATGGTGTTCATCCCTAATGCAAGAGTAGGAATTGAAACCTTTTAATGAGCATAAGATCTTGTTGGCTATAGGGGTTTTCTTTCAAAGGTCTCAGTATTTTGTGATGAAAATGGCAGGGATCAATGACCTGGGTTCCACTTAAAGCCTTCCCAAAAATTTCTAAACTATGACAGAGACATTTTGAATATGTTGTACTGTCTTGCTCTCTAATGGAAATTATTAACATTTGGTTTTAAGTAAGCAATAGGTGAGGACTGAACCCACTCTTTTTGCTCTTGCTGATGTAACCATATGTTTCAGTGTAGCTGGAGAGAAAATACTAAAGGAAAATTAAAGCAAACTACATTTTAAAATGGTGCAATTATGTAGGATAAAGAATTTAGGTAGTTCAATAAAACAGTTTAACTTGGAATATGTATGGGTAATAGTTGAATTTTATTTTTTTAACCTGTCGCTTTAAAATATACATGCTCACACTCTGACATATTGTAGCATCTATAAGAGCTGGGCATATTTTAGATTAACAGTATGCATCTTTAATTATGCTCTCTGTAGTTAATAGTTTTGAGAACTCTGCAGTATTAAAGATCTTTAGCCTTTCAAAAAGGTTTTCCCAAGCTTCTCTGACTCGTAGCCAACACCAGTGTCATATCAGTCCCCAGGGGATTCACAGATGCATATACCCTAAATTTTTTCCCAGAGAGATTAAAAAAATTACTGTTTAGTACTTACAATCAAGCTTTGTTCTCCATGTGAAATCTTCAGCTCTGTACTGCTGTTTGTGACTGTACAGCAGTTGATAGCCAGCGGGACTAGGTTTTCAGATTAAATAGTCTTAGTATAGTATCATAAAATATATATAATAAAATATAAACAATTATAAATATAATACAGATATATGTTATATAATTTATATCATATATACAACAATAGTATCATTAAAATAATTAAATAATGATTAAAAGTTATTAAAAGAAATTGTATCCAAATGCAGAAATTACTATCCAAGTTGAGCTACAAATAAACATCTCTGTATAACTATCTGTTCATAGTATGATAATATAGTTGATATGATAATAATGTTTTATTGCTGCAGATCTCCAGTATCAAGTGATTTCAAATGTATGCGATACAAAAAAGAGATTATTGCACATCAGACAACTGACTCATTTATGGTTTCCTAATATGGTTTCTTCCTGAGGCACAAGAAGCTCAGAAGTTGCATAAAACGCATTGATTCAAACCTGCTCTTCTCAACATTTTTTTATATATAACATACATTCAAGAATAAGATATTTACTCACCAGGTACATGCATGGAGGAATGGGCAAATATCACATGTACCAGGTGCTGTACTGAGTTTGCTAATTGTAGTTGAACTTAGGGATCTCAGCCTTCAAAAATGACCTTGGAAAACCAGAACAGTGTCAACTGCACCACTCAGCTTGGTGTCATTTGCAAATTTGCTTTAGGCTGTGTCAAAGATGAAGGTATTAAATAACACTTGTCCCGTTAAAGACCCCTGAGGGACACCACTTGTCTATGATGTCCACTGGGGTCCCTAGCTATTAACCACTACCCTTTGCATGCAACCACCCAAAGATGTCCCTGCCATACCAGAGGGGTTGAAACTAGATGATATTTGAGAGTCCCTTTCACATTCTATGAGTAAATAAAATAGAAAATATAGAATTCAAATAAAAGTTTGAAAGAAAATGAAAGCTGCCATAAAACTGTCTTTTTATTTCCACAGCCCCTCATTGTCTTCCATTTATTTACAGTCTTCTAACATAAAATCATTAAAGCTTTAGATTGTCAAAAAGAAAAAGGCAATTTTCTCTGCACTGAGATTCAGTGTAATCATTGCAGAAAAGATTACTAATGCAGTTTTATACCTGTTGATATGAATTCAGATTGAGAAAATGGTTATTTTCTTGTATAGTCTTGTATTGTTAGCATGAAAATTCTTAAAATAAATTAACTATTACTTTTGAGTTTTACTTTTTTTAATGTTTCATTCACTAAGTGAAGTTGTCCATAAGAAATAAAGAAAATAAACAAAGAATTAACAAAACAATAACACTGAGGTTAGATTTTTTAGATTAAGGAAATGGGACAGAAATTAATACAACTAGAGGAGGAAAAACTAAGTTTTATGCCTCAGAGTTTGCTAAATAATCTTTGAAAATATCTCACTGCAGTGCTTTAGACTGACATGAATCAGGTGGTGACTTGATCTGTCTAACATGAAAATATTTGGGTTTTTGGAAAAATCTATTCTCTTTGGTTTTCATGGAGCATCAGGAGCTATGAAATTATGTTTTCCACTAACTTGCAGTGCATTAAAATTGCTACACAATAAAATTACTTTTTCCCATGACTTGGTAAAGTTAAATGAGGCAAGGGCAGAACTCTGTCAGACTTTTATATCACTGTCTTTATATTGTAGCAGCTGAAAGCTAATAATGAGTGTTAAATAACCAATATCATGTGTAGACTTGACAGCTGACATGCTTTAGCATCAAATTTCTGGATCTGTTTCTTCCACAGAAATGCTTTCTGTTAATGAATCCCAGGACTAAGAACAGGCAACTGTCAGGCTGTCCAGATTATTCTAAGCACAAAATTCACAAAAGAGAAAACAAACACTATGAGAGGTTAGCTCTATATATTATAACTAAATTCTTGCCATTCAGGTATACTTTTCAGAGTACCTTTTTATAAGATACAATTTTTGCATACATCAGGTAAATGTCATGTGCATATTTGTGAATGAATATGCATAAATATAGAGTGCACTGCTCTGTCCTAAGAAGCACATCTGAAAAGGCTGCATATCCCCAGTTAGGTGGTCTGGACATACACAAGCCTTCATAAGGATTCTGACATTGAAATGCCTACCTATTGTCATCAACTGAAGAGCACATGAGGAGCTCTGAACATGAACTATGTGCAAGTCTTGCGATGGGATGAACTCAAAACCGCTCAATTATTAAGCAGAGGTGATTTAAATAGCTGCTCTATTGTGGTCTAGTCTGGTAAATGGCTTTCTTTAAACCTTGAGCCTGATGTGCTAAATTTGCAGCAAGTGTTCTTGGGGACTCTGAAAAGCTAAAAATAGTTAGACATGGAAATACGATCAGGTTAAGCAGTACTAATTTTTTTGGGAATACCATAATTGACTATTGACAGCTGTGTAGTGTAATGAGCAAGAGATCTTAAGAGATCTTTGGAACTTATGAGCATGAATCAAATTAGAAAAAGACAGCACCAGATGAAAAATAGAACAGTTATTTTCAGGTGAAGATGAAAAACATAATGGAAATTTCCAGGGGAAAAAATCCAGTGAATATAGCTGGAGTATGGACAGCTAGATTGAGATAAGGTTGTCCTGAATATACTGGCAGAAAAAAAAAATGCATAGACTAGAAAATTCAAACAAATAACATTTTGATTTATTTTTGAAGAACTCTACCTTACCACATTTTGGGGAATACCTTGTAAAAAAATCAAATGCCAATCAATCAGATATCAAAAATCACTGAAAAGGAAGCTTTAAATGTGTTTGAATAACAGATAGGTTGCCTCAGGAACATCCTAAGTTTACTCAGAATTGCCAGTGTAATCTATTACAACAGCACATCAAGCAGCACGGAAGGAAATTTACCTGGCAAAGAAACAAATTTTTATTACAACAGACATATTTGTTATGAAAAACAGCCATCTCTACTGACAGTATGAAGTTACACTCTCTCCTGATCCTAGAAGAAAATACCTGTTTGGTATGATGTTATCACCATTCTTTCTGATATTACTGTTTGTTTATTATTTATCATGGCACCTATGGACCTTCCTCATAATCAGGGCTTGCAGAGAGCACAATACAAGCACAAAACACCAAAAACTAATGTTCCACAGAACTAGTAGGTTTTCTAGCTCATCTAAGTGGAAAGAGAGAAGCTCTTATCCTCTTTGCACAATAAGACAGGACATGAAAAAGGTGGCCCCACTTTTTTGCTGTGCCACAATCTTCCATCCAAAACTGCTGAGCAGTTTTTGATTTCTAGTCAAACTCCAGTTCATTCCACTTGCTGCAGTCCTGACTCATGTCTTCCACACTAGTCATGTCATAATCCTATTGATATAAAACATTAATGAGCTGTAGCAAGCATGGATTGCTTTTTCATTGAGCTTTTCTTTTCCCTGTATCTATTACAAACATACTTACCATCTTCACATGGCATGTCTATTTTCTTTGTAAAAAAACCATATATCCAGTAGCTAAAATCTTCCAGTATTTTTCAGGTACTTCTGGTAGTTGTTATTCTCATCCAGAAGCACAATTCCTTGGATGGTAGTTAATCAACAAAGCACTTGGCCACACTGACTGTCTGCCACATCTGGGACCTGCAGTTTCTAGGGGCATCTTTTAAAGCCAGAAATAACTGGGTTTTAGCATTTGCCATCTTTGACAGAGTATTCACAAAGTGCTTGGCTAACTAATCTGATTTGTTGTAACAGATCACTGCTTGTTAATAAAGAGCACCTTGGGCACAAGTATTTGTGCCCCCCCAAAGTCCATACAGGCCTGTGCGAGCCTGAGTCAGGTGGTTTTGGTCTGCCCTATATCTCTTCCACCCTTTCTAGGATATCTCCTTCTGCCCTCCTTGACTTTCATAAGTCTCCTTTCTACTCACAATATTCATACAATGAAATTCACTAAGGATATTTTGCTGAATTAAAATTCACTTCTCATTAATGTGAATAAAGCTTAAATGAATCATTTATTCTGCAGTATTTACTGACTTACAGATAATAATCTTGCATTACAACTAGTAGGTAAAGGTCAGCTTGCATGATTCACTGTTAATTTGTTTTCATTTAAACTAATTTACTTGGAATTTGTACAGCATTGGCTCCCTAAGGGAATGCAGCGAAAACTATGACCTGATGACAAGTAGAACATTAAATTATAACAGAATTATTAATAAAAGAATCTTTTTATAATTTGTTAAAAATATTGGGAGATATTAGCAACTTATTTATGTAAGATATGGAAAGTACGTCTGTAATATAATTGCATATAAATTAAAAATTTGTCTGGGGAGATTGTACAGTGGTCATAGTTTTAAGATGATTGGCAGATATATTAACATTGAATGCCCCAGGAGAAAGATAATGAATTCTGGGTTTTGATTTTTTTTTTATTTCCAAGGAGAGCGTTAGTGTGTTCTTTTGTTTGTGATGCTTGACAATGTCATAACTAGTTGACTTAAAAAAATGAAGTCACTTACATTGCTGGTCTTGCTAATAGCTAACTGGGTTATTTTCACTTTCATTTAGCTTAGGAGACAGAGCTAGAAAAAAGAATGAATAACAGTCTCAAGAAATAAAAGGAAACTTGTTTCAAGTACATGCAGATAAGATATTTTAGGTGTCATTGAATCTTTTCTTAGAATATAGCTTCTTCACTTGTTGACTGGAAAACCAAAGATATGCTTTCTAAATTAGACCCCCTAGCTCTTTTGTTTATTTATTGTGACATGAGAAGTAATGTATTAATTAAAAAACTTGCCAGCCATAGATCTGACCTAGGTAATCTGATTTAGGTTAGTCTATAACCACCTGAAGTCTATAACTAATTTATAGACTTCTGCATGACTATAGGATGGCAACTCCAGATGCCTAAATATAGTCAGAAGTGGTAGCTCAAAACACTCCTTTATTTCCCATTAACAACAGATACTGACATGTTTGCACTCTGCTCACTCATCAGACTACACAGACATTTTCTTCACTTTGTTAAAATATATTTTCTTTGTTAAAAAGGTAATATTTGCACATGTTCTTACATGTCACATCATATGACAGTGACAGCTAATGCTCATCTCTAGTTAAAAATATAGCTACTGATTAACACTGTTCTTAGTAATACACAACAGGATGTACTGCAATGTAGTGGGAAGAGCAGAAAAAGATCATTTAGAAGACCTGACATCCAATTTCTTGGAACTGACACATGCTGAATATGCCCTTAACACCTTTTCAAACATAATATACCTGACAGCCTATTTTATCACATGCTTACAGAAACCAGTTTAACTTTTATTTCAAAGGCTCTCCTCCATATTGTACTGTAAAAAATGAGAAAACTTATTAATCTCTAAATGCTTAACTTGTCCATTTTGTCATATAAACCCATTACTGATAGATCCTAAATTTTATTTTAAACTACATAATACCCAAAGTATTTGTATAATTTGAATAATATTGTAAAGTGTAAATATTTGGAAGATTCCATAAAAAAAAGGCTTATTTAATAAACAGATAATTAAATATTAGCAGCAAAGAGACCTGGCTGGATGTGTATCTATCTTTGTCTAATAATGCTAATGGATTTTATGAATATAATTTTATTAAATATGAATAATTTATTATGTATTTAATTTGTGGAGTAAGCTAGCAAAATTTCTCTCATGCAAGACAGTCTTAGCATACTTCAAGATTCGTCTTTCTTTTGCAATATATGCCAGGAAATGTAATGTCTTTATTTCTCTGTCTAGAGACATGAATATTTTTTTGGTAATTTTTAATGTTACTTTAAAAAAATGATATTAATTTTTCCCCAGTTCATTTTTCCATACCTGGGAAGACTTGTGGGAACACCTACATGACCTGAGGTCTGGTGGGATTTCATTCTATGTTACTAGCATAACCTGAGAGCATATAATTGTCCAGAACTCTTCACCATCTAACTTCATTTGTTGGTTTCAAATATAAACCATGTTCAATAAACAAATCTGTGTTGCTTTATTGCTGTCATTTAACCCCTGACGTCATGTTGTCATTTGACTCATGTAAAGTGAGTGTCATGCAGGTGACACTCACTCTGTCACCTCCCCTCAGTGGGGAGGAGACTTGGAAATAAAAGGTAAAACTCATGGCTTGAGATAACAACAGTTTAATAATCGAAAATTATGATGATGATTATAGTATTTCTATTACTATTATTAATAATAAAATAATGATTAATTATTATTATTGTTTTTAATAATAATAATAATAAATAAAAAGAGAGCACAGAATAGCACCCAAGAGAAACAAGTGACACCAGCCTATCCCTAAGCAGTGATCAGCAGCCCCCAATAAAGTGCTTTGTTTATATGCAGAGAATGACATTTTGTGGTGTGAAATATTCCTTTGGCCATTTTCCCTCCCATCTTCTTGTGCACCTCTCCACTGGCAGAGCTTGGGGAACTGGTGAGCACTACTCACCAACAAGAAAAACATCAGTCTGTTATTAACATTATTCTTATATTAAATCCAGATCATAGCACCGTGCCAGGTGCTAGGATGAAAATAACACTATCCCAGACAAGGCCAGGACAATTACCTACTCTCTGTTTAATGCAATATCTCCTTTGAGGAACATTAGGAAATGCTCAGAGACAAATACTTGCCCATCTGCACCCAAAATCACTAGGGACATTCTGGCAATATATGTTCCCCTAAGTTTTTGTCTTAATCAAATTTATATTTAATTTTATATCTGAAATAGATATGGTATTTATGGGTGTTTGCCTCTCTCATTGGGCCCCACTGGGGCATCCTCTGATGGGGGAAACCCTCCTGTAGCAATTCTGTGCCAGGAAAGAGAGACGCATGGGACTTTTTTGGTCTTCAGCTTGTTCTTTATTGCTGTCTTATCAAAACTTCAGCATGCTGTCTATACCAGACTTTGCGCACAGGAAAAGCACCACAAAATGTGTAGTTTCAAGGTCTTTTAAAGCTGTTTCATCCAATTAAGTCTTAAAATGCACTTTATTTCCATTCATCTATCAATAACTCATCCCTCCGATGTCCACGTAACCTAAAACTGTAGCTTTCCTTGACCAATCACCCTGTGCCACCAACACTGCAGAAAATGGACTAGATGGAGAAGAAGAGGCCCAAGACAGTGCCTAAAACCTTCTATCTTGATTCCTATCTTCATCCATACTAAAAAAAGCCCAAACCTAAATTTCTCACCCAGTGTCAAACTACACTATTCTCTATTATCTATTTCACACTCTGCTAGACTCTAGTCTATCTCGAAGCCTTGGAAGCTTTCTCCACGGGCGAAGGTCAAAGTTGGTGCTTCTCTGGGTGCCATGACCCTTCAGAGCAGACAGAGAAATATTCCCTGTGCCCTGGGTTCCAACAGGTATTAGGTGATACGACTCTGGAAAGTCTCAATATAATTATAAGCTTTAAATGTCCTTATAATCTTTTCCATCTCATGTCTCCCAACTTCTTCCTGAACAATGAATTTCACAGTCTTAAGATATTCTCTGGAAAAATCAATATCTTAATTTTATGTTATTAGGCATACAGAAATGTCTACTATATTATTTTTAATGCCCTTAAGGACTGAATTTTCCAGAGAGAGAACATTTTAAAGATTTTAAACAGTAAAATTATACAAATAAGTTTTATGGAACCACAATTGAAGATACTAATTTTCTGTCAACTCTGCACAGCTATCTACAGCAGGCAAATTTATGTCTACTGGAAAGACCTACAAAACATAGTATTTATGCAATAAATAATTCAGTACTGTAAATATTGCTTCCTTTGCTATCTTTAAAATTATTCTGGTTTGATTTTTATCACTTAACTAGTATTCACATTTAATCAAAATTAAAAAGTTTCTATTTCTCTAAAATTGTTTTTAAATTAGACTATATAAAAAATTATTTCATAGAATTTGTTTAGAGTTCACATTTTTTCATTTTGGGTATAAAACTGTGGCAATTTTTATTATGTTACACTTTTCAAATCCATCCCGGATGAAAAGTAAATGTTGCTGATCAAAGCAAAAAGAGGGATTTTATTCTTTTCTACAGAGTAAAACCAGGAGAACTTCTGTCAAGATTTTGTGGATACTTTTAACAATCTATATCTCCATTGCCTTGGATTTGTGTACAGATCACCAGTTTTCCTAAATAAAACCATATCATAGAAAATTTAGTTATCTAATTTTGAAATAAATGAAATAAAATTACAACATACTCCTAGTGAACTAACTCTAAAGAAGTCAGATTGGTTCAGTAAATTACAGTATATCCCCAGAGACTCTTGTATCGACCCCAAGAGCAGTACAAGGAGAGAATTAAACATCCAACTGGATAACATTTCTAAATGAAATCCATATTTCAGTCAGTGAAAACTAAAAAGTGTCTATCTATGCAATGCTTTTTCAACAGGTTTCTTTGTTAAATTAAGGAATACATAAAAACATTCTGTAGCTCTCTAGTAGTAATGTGATTCAGAAAAAACATTATGTTCAAGATGTTCTATGTTGTTTTTAAAGGCTGTATAAAAATAAAATTTTAGGAGTTGATATTTAGGAATATACTATCACTAGTTGTTATATTTAGGTAAGAGTGTACTGAAAAACATGTATCCTTTAGCACACAACAATACCAAGGCTCCTCCCTTAATCTGTCACTTCTGAGAAAGGTTGAAGGCTAGTTCAGGGCTAAGGAAGACTCTGATACTTTGATTCAAAGTGGAGATGACGCTTAAAACCTTCTGAATTGTTTGTTGTCTCACACACGGCATTGTGACTGTCCTTACTGTATTCTCCTGAAGCAAGGAGCTTATGTGTCTGCTCTGAAAAACTGAGCTGCCTTCCTGAGTGGTACTGAAGATGAAACAGTGAAGTCTGGCCAGAGTGAAGGGCAAGCAGCAGCTCTGCAGAGCAAGAATACGTCAACAGATTACAATGCCACTGGTTATAGGGAAAGATCTATCACATAAATAAAAAGGATTGATGGACTACTTTGCTCAGAATTATTTGCATTGAAGTATTTACTCTTCTGGATGTTCACTAAAGATTATTTTGCATAATTGCACCACAAACAGCCTAAAAGATATAATGCATTTTACATATTCAATTAATGGATTTTCAAGAACATGATTTTCTTGTTTTCTGTGACTAGTAATGGGGTCATCTTGAATTAATTTTTAAAATTAAAAATGAAAAAACATCAGTAAGTATCAGCTAAAATAAAACCAAAGTTAAGACTGCACAAAATTGGTCCTGAAAGCAGAAAAATACATTGATATTATTGAATTGTGTTTGAAAGATGACCCAAGATTTAGGAACACATATAAGCATTGAAAAACGTACCCCAGAATAAGTGTTTAGAACTTTATTACAGCATTTTTACAGGATTCATAAATGCCTTTCCAAATACCCTGCACCATATGTTTGCTTCATATTGCCTATAAAGCTCAAGTAATTTATAAGTCTGCCACTTCTCTGTAAATTGATGTTATGAGTGGCTTAAATTTGTCTGATGCTGTGGGGAAAAGCCATTGAATTTTATGTTCTCTATTTTCTGGATGAGCACATCTGCCAAAATAGGTTGCTCCAATGAGTTAATAGAGCTTAATGCAGTTTATAGGTTTCCATTGAACATTTCTAATTTTAAGATGGGCTTCACTCAAAAATCAAGGCTACTGAAGAGGAAATGGTTTAAGTAATTTAAATGCTCCTGCAACCTTCAACATTCTCTGATAAGTATTTCTAAGGTAGTCTATTACGGGAGAAAAATTGAATACAGCCAAATGTGTACAATAAATACAGAGAAAAAAAATGTAATTCCACTGAAATCAGGTGGCTCCTGGGCTGTGAACTATTCACCAATGCTCAATTAACCAGTCACAAAAAGTGCAACATGAGGAGCTGAATAAAACCAGTTCTGGATGTAACAGAGAATGAAGAACAAATGTACAACAAGTGCAAAAAATTACATAAATGATTGTGGATGTGAATTTTTAGGTACTGTGAACTTGCAGGTCAGTGAGTAAAGCATGACAATATATATAATGTGAGGCAGATCCTGGAGGGATTAGAAAGAAACCATCAACACATCATCATCCTCATCCCTATGTCCATGAAGGACCTGGAATGCCAAAGATTGCTATAGCCCTCCCTCACAGCCTGAAAGCATTGATACATTCTAGAAATTTTGAGCAGATATATCAACTCACCGGTATAAAATGTGTTACCAAAGTGAAAACTGGTCTAAAAATAATTGTTTTATTAGATTATTAAGAATTAGACCAAAACTAAATTTCCCCTTTGCATTCACAGTCTGCTCATTTGGATCATAACAAGAGTCTCACTTGTAGGAATTCAGGCTACCTGCTCTGTAACTTGGGCTCAGCAAACTCACAATGTATTATTACAACACTTTGGACTAGAGAAAGCCCACAATAATAGTTATTTTGTGAGTGTGCACAAAATAACTATTATTTTGTATGTCCAGAGAGCCACAGAGCACCACCTGGAAGCTAGGAAATATTTGAGACAGTGCCTTGTATTTCTAATGCATCCTCCACTTGTGGCCCAGGCCATGCTGCACTACTTGGCCTGGGGACCAGGACTCAGTCCCTGGATGAATATAGCCAGAGTGCACATTTAGACACAGTGATGGAATCCAAGGTGCTGGTACTGACATGGTAACAGAACCTGCCTGTTTTCAGATTGAGATATTTGTGAATGAATTAATTCTTTCTTTATCCTGTCTTCTGACTATTCCAATTTTAAGTTCATTTGAGAATCGCCTGTGCTGCAATATCCTTAGCACTGAGGGATTTTGAAAAGGATTGAAACCTCTCAACACTACTGACATATAAAAAAATAATGACAATGTAATATGACACTCATTAAGTTAAATAAAGCAGGTAAAATTGGAAATACCACAGCCACATAAAAAAATACAAAAATTTGGGTTCAAATCTATTTTT